CTCTTAACTCGTGCAAAACGTTTTGATTTGTGTGTGTGTGTATTCTATCTGTGTAGTATTTTTAATTTGTATTATTAACGTGCTGTCATCTTTATTAATTAAAGAAAATGTAATGAAATAAAAAATAAAATTGTATAAAAAACACTTAAAAGCTATCCTAAAAACCAGATGTATTAAAACGATTTCAAATTAATTCTCGCAAGTAAATTTCAAAATAAAAAGAAATGCATGTCCTCATAACGTGGTGTTGGTAAGGTATCGTGGTGTTGGTAATGTATCGAACCAGAGAACTTCAGGTCAGTACTCCGGCATCTATACCAATACACCACATCTCATTGACGTGTGAAGTTAACAAAGATATTGATATATTTATATATATATTCGTAAGATACCACTGTTTATCACCTGACCTTTACGGAAATTAATGAAGTGCCAGGTCAATATTGTTGGACAATACATAAGATTAGTCAAACTGTTGTGCTTATTTTCGAAGCTGTAACTGTAAAAATTTGTTTGTACCCTGGATAATATGGGAAAAACCCAAAATATATTCTTTATTCTGGAGTAAATCTATTAAATTAATTGAAATGTATGCAACAAGATGTCCATTGGTAATTTAAAGCATCCAAGCTTATGCCATTATGAAAGTTATATTGTCACGGTCTAGAACTGTTCACTTATTGAGGGAGATTTAGATGTAAGGGAAGTGGTGACCTAGTGGTTAAGGTGTCTGCCACTCAACCCAGGAATTATGGCTGAGAGTCCAACTTGGGTCATGATCATGATTTCCCATTATGATACTGACACAGAAAAGTGGACTGGAAAGTGATTAAGATAAGTTGCAAGAGCTTGTTTCGCTATCGAGGTCCTAGCTGGGCTGAAGTCTCAATCAAAATATTTGACATTTCTAAAGACTTTAATAAATATGGATTTCTGAGTTAATGAAATACTGTTTGTGTTATTGCGTTAGTTCCACAGTGAAGATAAATTTCCATTTCACAAATTATCAGTGTTTTACAGGAACATATGATAAATAGATTTTCTCAAGGGAAATTAAATTGAGATGGAAGCTTCATTACTGTTTGATATGATGGGGGGAATTAGTGTTTAATTTTGGCATGAACAAAGAGTGAGAGATATCCCCACAGGGGTATGTGGTTTGCTTCCATGATGCTGATGACAATTGACAGGTGATTTATAATGTCAATTACATTTAAAGATATCCAGCCACCTTAAATAATGCGCTTAATAGTACAATAAATGTGAAAGCTGATTCTATAAAGAATTAAATATGGCCTTCAACTTTTCTAAAAGTTAACTTAATGACCTTTTGTGTGTAGTTGTGATTTAAAAGTAACAGTTATTGGTATGTTCACATACTGCCCTTTCACCCTCTCCACCCTTTTTAGTTTGCTGCCCTGCTGTTGGTACATAACCAGCGGGACTTGGTTATGTTCGGGACTGGGTTCTTTACATTGGTGATTTTTTTTATCACTTTTTGTTAATCTACATGCAAGCAAAAATCAGCATAAATATCATGCAGTACATAAGAAGCTGTGAAATGCTATATTAATTCAAATTGAAACATTCCATGCATATTTCTATGTTTAAACTTTCATATATAATATAAGATATAGAGGAATGTTCACATGTTGGAATTGTATCTTATATTACATCTCTTTGATATATCGGACTGGAAAAATCAATTTAATTACTATAACATGTGTTCTTTATAGATGAAATAAAGTGTTGAGTAACACATCAAAGAGAAATAAAACAATGCTATATTCTTGTCACTTAGGCAATAGTCAAACAAAAAACAAGGCAATTTTGTTAATGCTTAGCCAATGCTTAGCCTACTCAGGTGCCAATTGGTTGGACCGGTGTGATCAGTGTACTAGACGGACATCAGCCGGCCCAACATTTTTAACCTTACCGGTTCTCATTATTTGTGTAATGGAATGTTCTGTTGTGGGTTTGATCCTTGGACAAGGCAAAATTTCACCATGACATTTGGTCTTGGACATTGAGTGCTTTTGACTCTAATAGCCATTTTGTCTCTTGCCTCTGGCTCAGAAATCATGTTGGTTTAATAGTTTGTCACTTGCAGAGAGATTAGTAAATTACTGGTTAGTTATCCAGGAAAACTAATTTAGTAGATGGACTGTGGACTGCAAAAGTTGGACCAAAATGTGTAAAATTTGTGTGAAAAAAATCCAGACAAACAAACAAATAGACAATAAATTTTAATTTTAAGGACAAAAAATATATTGAAATATTATAAAGGTATATAAAAAGGCACTGTTAAAGACACTTTCTTATATGAAAAATAATCAAAGGAAATAACTACATAAACAAATCAACAATTAAAACCTCAAACTTATAATGCTGTATAAATTGCATATTTTCCTCTTAGCTCAATAACTTAAGTAAACTCCTATTAATTTAGAAGGACTTAACCCGTTTCTGCAATAAGGTGAAAATATGAGCATTTAAGGCATTTATCTTTCAAGGCATTGAAGACCCGCAAGCATCTGCTTAATAAAATTAGGATTCAATTTACAGACGGACTGCCAAAAAAAATATAAAGAAATATAATATAACCACAAAATTATAACACCATGTAAGGCACATAAAATGAGGAGGCTTTATGATTTAAGATAAATTGACATGTATATAAATGTCAGGCTGAGTTATGATATGGTACATTAAGTTTGTATGATCAATCATTTTTAATGTTCATTTTTTTTTAAATCAATAGAATGTTTATAAAGATTTAAAAAAAAAAAGAATTTAAAACATAGTGGCTTTTTAAGCCCTGTTCATGTAATGCTAGATAAAACATTGTTGTTATTGTTATTGTTAACAGGAGGCTTTTCAATGAAAACAGCCATTTTTCACAATATGCTCATGAAGTTAAATGTTAAAGATGTTTAAATGTTAAAAAATAAAGAAAAAGTAGGAAGAATATTTTGTGCATAATTGCTGTATAATGCTTTTAAGGTCTATTTTCATACAGTGCTAGATAAGTTCTTCTTGTTTTTGTTGTAACTAAATATAATTAATATCAATAGCAAAAGCCTGAGGGTGATTTTTACTTTTTTTGTGTGGGTGTTGCAATGGCAAATGGCAACAAATATTTATGTCTCCCCCACCTCGGGGGGAGACATATTGTTTTTGCCCTGTCCGTCCGTCAGTCCGTCCGTCCGTCCGTCCGTCCGTCCGTCAGTCCGTCAGTCCGTCCGTCCATTCTTCGTTTCCGGACGATAACTAGAGTTCCTTTTGACCTACAGCTCTCAAACTTCATAGGATGAATGGTCTTATTGAGCAGATGATCCCTATTGTTTTTGGGGTCAGTAGTTCAAAGGTCAAGGTCACAGTGACCGTTGGTCAATTTCTCGTTTCCGGATGATAACTAGAGTTCCTTTTGACCTACAGCCCTCAAACTTCATAGGATGATTGGTCTTATAGAGCTGATGATCCCTATTGTTTTTGGGGTCAGTAGGTCAAAGGTCAAGGTCACACTGACCGTTGGTCAATTTCTCGTTTCCGGATGATAACTAGAGTTCCTTTAGACCTACAGACCTCAAACTTCATAGGATGATTGGTCTTATAGAGCTGATGATCCCTATTGTTTTTGGGGTCAGTAGGTCAAAGGTCAAGGTCACACTGACCGTTGGTCAATTTCTCGTTTCCGGATGATAACTAGAGTTCCTTTAGACCTACAGACCTCAAACTTAATAGGATGATTGGTCTTATTGAGCAGATGATCCCTATTGTTTTTGGGTCAGTAGTTCAAAGGTCAAGGTCACAGTGACCGTTGGTCAATTTCTCGTTTCCGGATGATAACTAGAGTTCCTTTTGACCTACAGCCCTCAAACTTCATAGGATGATTGGTCTTATAGAGCAGATGATCCCTATTGTTTTTGGGGTCAGTAGGTCAAAGGTCAAGGTCACAGTGACCGTTGGTCAATTTCTCATTTCCGGATGATAACTAGAGTTCCTTTTGACCTACAACCCATAAACTTCATAGGATGATTGGTCTTATTAATCAAATGATCCCTATTGTTTTAATGGTCAGTAGGTCAAAGGTCAAGGTCACAGCGACCGTTGGTTAATTTCTCCTTTCCGGATGATAACTAGAGTTCCTTTAGACCTACAACCCTCAAACTTCATAGGATGATTAGTCTTATTGAGCAGATGATCCCTCTTGTTTATGGGGTCAGTAGGTCAAAGGTTATCTTATCTCCATTTCCATTCCTGTTTCCATTCACAGTTATTCTCAGCAGTGGGGGAGACATGCGCTTTTTTACAAAAGCATCCTCTAGTTTGTACATGTATTTCATTTATGGTAATTGTTCTTCATTTTTGCACTAAATGAGAAAAGGTTTCTTTTACTGTTAATTAAGTTTTTACTTTCCAATTTGTGTTGTATGTACTATAACTTTTTTTTAATCAAATCCATGATAAGTTTACTGATTTCAGGCCACTAACCCCTCACTGCTATAGGTTCAAATCCCTCCAGAGACTTTGGATTCTTTCATGTCAGAAAGCTATCCAGCTAGGTTACTGAATGTCAGTGGTTCTACTCAGGTGCATAATACTCACAAACAAACGTCATAATCTGAAATTTCAATTAGATCCAGATGCAACATGCTTAAATTGATAATAATTATTTCAACATGTTTTTATGACCTTTTTTTTGCCATTGCATGAACTGTTGTTTGTTTGTTGATTGGGTTTTACATCATATCAACACAGTATAGGTACAGGTGCCCTTCCGTGCATTATTTCAGGCATGAACGGGCACCTGAGTAGAACCACCGATGTTCCGTAAGCTAGCTGGACAGCTTCCTCACATGAAAGAATCCGAAGTTCTGTTTGGATTCAAACCCACACCGGTAAGGGGCAAGTGGTTTGAAGTCAACGACCTTAACCACTCGACCATGGACACCCCTTGCATGAACTAACATTAACAAAATTACTCTTGCATTTTTCAGGAAATTTAACCTTGAAAATTCCATGGAAGAATTTGTATTCTGAGCCGGTGATTGCTACCATAGATGGGTTATACGCCCTTGCAGTTCCAAATGTTGGTGAGTTATCTCCCTTTATTGTTATAGTCTAAATATTAGTGAGTTACTTCCCTTTTATTAAAAAAAAAATGTGTATTTGCTACCATTTGACAATCTTTCAAATTAGGAGAACAGAGTAATTGGTAGTGGATTAAATCAACAGATGACATCAAAAATGTAAGTTAGGGGAATGTATGTCTACATAAGTCATGTAGATTACAGAGGAAAAGTATTTCAGTTTCCAGGTATTAGTAACATGAACAAATGAAAACACTGTGTAAGGACAATTCAATTTTATGGTATTTCATTACTGTAACAGATTTTCATCTATTGAATTAAAAAGAAAATAGCCTAATGGTTAAGGTGTCTGCCTTTCACCTAAGTTTGTGATCTTGGGGTCACATATGACACCAGTCCTGTTTAGTTTCTGGAAACAGACTGGAGAGAGAGGTTCAAATAAGATTTATATATATTGTAAGCTTTCTACACAACCAAGCTAAAATAAAATTGATTTAAACATATTAATTTAAGCTCAATTGCGAAACAAGTTGTTGTAACTTATATAAATCACTTTTTGAGTTCGATTCCTGGAACCAGCCAGTACTGGTGTTATTTGAACAAAATATAATAAAATTGATAATAATTAAACCAAAAGATTATTATTCTTGTCACAGAAAATAAATTCTGCCGACATAGATATTTGTTGTTTCTCAGCTGACATAAATATTTGTTGAGTTTCTGCCAACATAAATATTTGTTGACAATGTTACCACCATTGACACTGACCTAGATTATGTACACGATGTACTTTTATTGTCCTGTGATATATTGATCATACTTGTAAATAAAACTATAAATAAAGTACAGAACAGAGTAACACTCTAGTGTAATTGTAACAATTTTCTATAGAGACACTTGTGACAGCTGTATACTTTCATTGACTAGTATTATATATAGTAGCATTGCTGCAAACCAGGACATCTAGATTAGATTATTCAATATTTGAGTCATACTGTACTGTATTATATACAGGTTGCTACATTTCATTATCCATTTCCCAGCTGACTTTTCATTAATGAACTAGTCCTGATTTGAAATTTGGAACTGCCCATTGTTGATGAAAGGGATTTACTGTAAAATCAGTATAGTTTTTGTAAGACACTCATTTTCGTGACTTGGTTCAATTTATGGTCAATATCCAACAAAATTTTCTTTTTTTTTGTCCGTTTTATGATTAATTTTCTTACATTATTTCAATTTCTTTCACAAACAGCCACACACTGTATAGAAATTTAAGACCCAAAACATATAATGTCCCTTATATAATTATATAAATATATATATATATATATAATATAAAGCACAAAATTTCATGCCTGCAAAATTTAAGTGAATTTATAGTATTTTTTATCAAAGTACTGAAATTTTGGAGGTTTAAAGTGAAACATTATGGCTTATTACTACATGAATGTTGCAGGCTACCCTGACTGTATACTGGTTGTTTATGGAGTCAGGGGGCTAGGTATCGCCACTTACACTACTAAGATTATAAATAATGATATAATATTTGTATCAAACTTTAAGCTCCTGACTTAAAGAAATAAGGAAATGGGATAAGGAAAATTAAACATATTTTTTACTTAACTTGTTTGAAATTGATAGGTAGCAAGGAAAGGTGTTGTGAAACATACACACCCTTATCTTAAATTATTCCTGCATTGACCACCATATCTGAATATTTAAGTTTGTCTTGGAGATAAACTTGGTAGAGTTTAAAATTTGATCTTGACTCTGATATCACACAGGAACATAAGGAAGATCAGACATACATTTATTACATGCATAAGACATAAGTACTGGTATCAGATGTAGATATTTACATAAATCTTAACTAAGATATAACATAAGACAGACATAACAATATTTCAGGTTTCTGATATAACAATATTACAGGTTTCTGACATAACAATATTACAGATTTCTGACATAACAATATTACAGATTTCTGACATAACTTTAATACAGATTTCTGACATAACTAATTATTTACAGGTTTCTGACTTAAGTATATTACAGGTTTCTGACATATAACAATATTACAGATTTCTGACATAACTTTAATACAGATTTCTGACATAACTTTATTACAGGTTTTTGACATAATCATGTTATAGGTTTCTGACATAACTTTCTTAACAGATTTCTGACAACTATATGACAGGTTTCTGACATAACTATATTTATAGGTTTCTGACATAACTTTACTACTGATTTCTGAAATAGCTATATTAAAAGTTTTTGTGATAACCATGTTACAAGTTTCTAGCATATATCTGTATCAAAGGTTATTGACATAAGTGTAATACTCTACTACAAGCTTCTAACATAACTAATTTTTACAGGTTTATGAAATAATTATTTTTACAGGGTTCTGACATAACTATATTTACAGGTATCAAATACAATGCTGAGAAGGAAGAGAAAGAAAAACAGGCAGCCAAACAGAAGAAACTTACAGCTCTGGAAGAGGCTAAAAAGTTGGAGGCAGAGAAAGGTAAAGTGCATGATTCTTTTAGTCAGTATTTGTGGGGTATATCAATACCTAATTATTAAAGTTACTAGTAGTGACATGGCCAAGTATGTTGAATATTGCTGCTAAAGTAAGTTAAAGAAAAGTACCTATAAATAGGTGTTAATGATTTTACCTCAAAACAAATACAAGTTCTAAATTAATTACCTAAATGATTCCCTGATGTGGACTTCATATACATATTTCGAAATATATAAATATGTACCTGCTAATATTTATAAATGAATTTCCTATCACATCATTTACATAATAACTTTAGGGCTTCATGCCAATGGTAAGAGTTACTTACTTTGAAGCAATTGCCCCTCACTGCTGTGGGTTCAAATACCATCACACATTTCTGATTACAGAAGTTCAATAGTAACTAAATAGAACTCTAATGCTGGTTCAAGTCTGAAATAATGCATGGAGTTTTTACTCCACCTGCACTGGAAAAGCTGGAAAGTCCTCTAAAGACCTAATAGTGTGTTTACATGACTTAAAACTGAACCAAAATGTAAAAATAGTATATAATCATGTATATAATTCTGTAAAAGACCTCAATCTCCATGGTGGCATGTTTTACTCTTTTTAATGTAGGGACACACGGCTCTCACTGCAGGTATTTTGTAAGCCTTTTCATGGTGTTATTATTAACAATTATTATATTTATAGATAAACCAAAAGAGAAGAAAAAAGATTCATTTGCTGAGAAGTTCGCTACTCAGGTCATCAAGAATCTTCAGGTTGAAGTACGAAATATCCATGTGCGTTTCGAAGATAAATACACAAATCCTAAACAACCATTCTCCATTGGTGTCAGTTTGAAGGAACTTCTTTTTAGAGTAAGATTGTAGTAATATAGATGTTATTAAAGAATTTTATAAGAATTCTTTTTCATATCATTGCAAGAATAAAGTGCAAGATACAACAATAGTTCAAATGTTATATTAAAAATTTGCTTGCACAGCATTGTCTGAAACAAATATTGAAGTGGTATTTGACATTATTGGACTGGAAATAATTTTTTGAAATTAATGTAGTAATTGATGTAGGTGTAGAGCAATAACTTGTGTCAGCTGACTTGTGTGAAGTCTAATAAGCAATCCATCTTATAGACGAGTAAATGTGTAAATTGTGTAAATGAAAAAGTTAAGTAAATATGGTAAGGCAAGTAAATGCGTAATTGGTACTTTAGTCTGGTTCAAAATTATTCAAAATTCTATACTATTGATATACATCAAAAAAGTCTTCTTTGTTGAAAGTTTAACATGCACATTATAAACTGAGGGGTGGGAAGGCCATGATTGCAACTTAGTGGTAGTATAGAATATTAGTAATAATGTGTAATAATGGGTAATAATGTGTAATAATGGGTAATAATGTGTAATAATGGGTAATAATGTGTAATAATGGGTAATAATGGGTAATAATGTGTAATAATGGGTAATAATGTGTAATAATGGGTAATAATGGGTATTAATGGTTTTCTTTGTAGACAACAGATGAGAACTGGAAACCATGTATAATCAAAGAAGCTGTGTCACAGATTAACAAGGTTTGTTTATAGTTGTTAAAATGGAGATTAGAAATTAAACAAATGTCTGGATTATATTATAAAGCAGAGATTTGCTACTATGAAAGCATGAATTGATTGATTGATCAACAGTCTAAGGGAGCTTTGATTGAATCATTTTCTGCCATTGTTTCCCTGTACACGTATAATGAAAAACAGTCAGTGTAGCATTGCTGTCTGTTTATATGTGAATAAACTCACGAATATATTGATTTAATTGAGACAGAATTATGTTTTTCCACTGATTTTGGTTAATTTGTATTGGATGCATACACAAATTGGATTGTCAGCTGTCTGTTGTCTTTCTGGTATCACGGTTTGTTTGGCATCCTTGATTTGCCTCCATGCTAGCAGCTTCATATTTGTTTTGATTATAACCAAACACATAGAAACATAGATATATAATAATAATTAAGAGAGGAAAAAATATTTAAGTCTTCTAATATTTTTTCATAATGTATGTTTTGAAACATATATATATATATATATATATATATATATATATATATATATATATATATATATATATATATATATATATATATATATATATATATATACAGTATATAATTTATATTTTATCTATTTTAGCTGGTGAAACTAGAGTCCCTGGCCGTGTACTGGAACAGTCGCACAGAGCTGTATGAAGATAGGCCTAATCTGAAATCTTGGTTAGTTAGTCACTATTATATCTGACTTGTGTACTCTGAAAGCCTTTTAATGCTGAGGTTTTTTTCAAAGGACTGAAGAATCATTTTGCTGCCTTAGGCCAAACCATGATAAATACTGTATAAGTGGTTAAGTTTAGCGATGGGGAAATATTGGTGGATTTTGTGAAATTGATGAAAATCGCTAAAATTTCCTCTAGCATAAATATCAACCAACCTGTCATTAAGTTCTACCTTGCATGATTTGCTTATATTTCTGCATGTAAAATGTCTGGAATTTTATATTTGCTTAGCCTACTTTTCGACACAAAATATCTATTTATACAGTTAGAATTCTAGAAAAATCACTCTTGTATGTAATGTAAGTGCAGAAATAACATGTACTAGTTTATGAACTACTATGGTAAAGAAATGCATAAATACAGTTCAACCATAGCAGAGCAATAACATTTGGAAGTATGACGGTTAAACATTGAATTAAATCACATTTTAAAAGGGCACGTCCATGACAGAGTGCTTCAAACCGCTTGCCCCTCACCACTGACGATTTGAATCCCGCTAAGGACTTTGATCTTACCAAGTCAAGAAGCTCTCCAGCTAGCCAAAGTAATGTTAGTGGTTCTACTCAGGTTCTGTTTGTGCCTGAAATAATGCAAGAAGGTCTACCTCCACCAGTAAAGCTGGAAAGTCACCATATGACCTTCACTGTGTTGATGAATGTAAAACCCAACCAAAACAAAGATGAACAATTATTACAATGTATTACTTGTTTTGTGATATTTACAGACTGGTCTGAAAGGTGCAATAGCTGCTGATAGTAAAGCTGACTTCCAATATTGTAAGTGATCATTGACAATTTTACTTTACCTTTAACCTTTTCTTAAACAGACTGGTTCCCCTTTCATTTATCAAAAAAAGTCAAGCTAAATATTATGATATCATCATTGTTGTTGCACAAAAAACTATGATATTACTCATTTCTCAAACTATTATTAATAAAGGTATCAACATGAAACTTAGAGTATTTAGTCATCCTGATAAGATGTAGTTGGAAGACAAGGGACATAATTCTGAAAGCATTATTTTAGGAATTATGCCCCTTTTTAACTTTAGAATTTTTTTGTCAAAATTGCCTAATGAAGCTGAATGAATTTTTTAACTATTCTAACTTCATGAAGCACAGAAAGTGGGTCAAAGCGTCTAAATTACACTAATAGTTCATTCTTGAAATAATTTTACAAATTTTGATAATTTTCATGAAAATTGCCAAAGTGTCTAAATTTCACTAGTATTTCAGTTGATTTACTTTATGAATTAATTTAACAAATTTTGATTATTTTATTGAAAATTGTTTTATCATTTTAGTGATCAAGCCAATCTCATCAGTTGCTCATCTGAAATTGAACACAAAACCAGAGCTACAGGAGTACAGTTCGCCCAAGATGTTCCTTACTATAATCTTCGATGAGATATCTGTGTGTCTGGCTAAACTTCAGGTAACTGTCACATTAAGTTGGTTAAGTTCTATAAATGTAAATTTGAAAAGGGGTTCTACTCAGGTGCAAGCTTGTATCTGAGATAATGCACAGAAGGGCACTTTAGGTCTTCCTATTTAAAAAAGTTTCCATTTATTTTAGACTGCAACCTCAGTAAAAAAAAAAACCCTGATGAATTACAGGGAAGGAAGCATATCAGCACCAGAATGTTTGAGAAAGATGATATAATTTATTGTTCTGATTTTGCATGGTAAGTCAAAAATTAAATTGAGTTTATTCCAATAAACAAAATTATTGAACATTTGTTTTACATGTTTTGTATTTGTATATTTCAGTATAATGATGTATTGGAGATGTTGGAAGGTTTTGAGAGAGTGGCCTTGATGGGAATATACAAGAAATATAAACCTAGTGTGCCTTTGAAAGGCAACATCAGAACATGGTATGCCATGTTTAATAATATGTTATGTGCTTCTTCATCAGAAATTGACTTTCCGTCATCCTTTCGGTGATGTACTTTATTTGGTAGTATTTTTGCAAGATGTGACTTTTCTTTAAAAAAAAGACAGCAGTAAAATGATAGTAACCTTGAAATGTAAATGATAAATGTGATAAAATGTGTTTTGTCAACAATTGCTAGATTTTCAAAACCTTAATTTTGCTATGTATGAATACAGCTAGGTAATTGATACATTGTTTTACGTTGTTTGTCTATACAAAGTAAAATTTAAGAAAATAAGTACTGAACCAGTTTTATGACAGGATTATGGACCATATTGAACATTTTAGTGAGCTGCTGTATTGGTATTTTCTGAAAAAAAAATGAGATTACATTACACCCTCTTACATGATACAGTTAAACGTGTATTAAGCGACCGCGCAAGGGAAATACTCAAAACGGTCGCTGAATGAAACGGTCTCTTAAGACAGTCAGCATGATATAAAAGTCAAAATTTATAAATGACATCTTTCTTATGACATGTATGAAGTGGGAATGTTTTTCAACTTCATTTTTATATAAATGTTGAATAATTTGTACGCTCAGATAATCTAAATGGATGCAAATGTAAAAAATAACTTTCTGATATTTATTGACAAATTACGTGCATGTTAGACATTTTTTCCAGAGTTTTTTAACTTCTCCGTAGTTTTTCCTTGTCTCCAACACGAAAACCCTATTAGTGAAGATGTTTTCTGTTGTGTATTTTTGTCATTTGAAATAAACAAACTACATCTTATTGTTAGGATTAATTTAATTGCTGATCAAGTTCAAGGTTAATTCAATGCAGACTAAATGTCAACAAGTGAAGCGTATACAACATCTCAGTAGGGGCGGGGCGTTGCATTGTTTATCCGATATTATTGGATAATACACGTCATGGGTATACTTAACTTCATTTGCATACGCTAAAATGGTTTGGGGAAAAAGAGTTTATCACACGTTTATTTCTTGTGTTTTGATTGTTGACACTTGTGACGTTACGAGGTGGCATTCTCTAAAAACACAATTACTTGACTGGTAAAAGTGGTCGTTTAATGAAAAGATTGATCTCAATTAGGTGACTAATTAGCGGTCGCTGGTCCCGTTGAGCAAAAGTCGCTTAACACATTAAGATATAGAGAGAAAATGATCGGGGGAATTTAAAGTGGTGGTTTACGACAAAAGTCGCTTAATACACGTGGTCGCATGGGCAAGTTAGACTGTACATATGTAATAATATAAGGGTTTTTCACTGGCTGCCAGTACAGACTGGAATATTTAGCTTGAGGGTAACTGTTTATGGCAGTAATGAGGCCTTAAAGAGGAGAGCCCCTTTGTGTTTATTATGATATTATCTGAAATAAGTCTATATTTACAGAATCATATTGAATTCAAAATCCATGAAAAAATTAATTATTTTGTGAAAACAGGTGGCATTATGCATACACTAGTATATTAGAGTTATTTAATTGTGTATTCAGGTGGCATTATGCGTACACTAGTATATTACAGTTATTTATTTGTGTAAACAGGTGGCATTACGTGTACACTAGTATATTACAGTTATTTATTTGTGTAAACAGGGGGCATTATGCATACACAAGTATATTACAGTTATTTATTTGTGTAAACAGGTGGCATTATGCATACACTAGTATATTACAGTTATTTATTTGTGTAAACAGGTGGCATTATGCATACACTAGTATATTACAGTTATTTATTTGTGTAAACAGGTGGCATTATGCATACACTAGTATATTACAGTTATTTATTTGTGTAAACAGGTGGCATTATGCATACACTAGTATATTACAGTTATTTATTTGTGTAAACAGGTGGCATTACGCATACACAAGTATATTGGAGGAGACAGTGAGGCGGAGAAGAAAGATGTGGTCGTGGTCATATATGAAAGAACATAGAGATATGAAGAACAAATATAGAGAAGTCTACATAAAGAAGCTAGAGAGTAAAAAAGTTTCAGGAGATCTACAGAAAAGTTTGGATGTAAGTTTTTTGTTCAAATACATTACCTCTGTAGTGCAATTGTTAAGAAACAGGTTTGTTTTGTTGAGTTACATTTAAGATCTTCAGGAAGGTCTAGATGTAGATTTTTTTGCTCTATCAAGATAGCTTCCGAACTGCTGGTGATTCTACTCTGGTGCCCGTTTATGCCTGAACTAATGCACAGAGAGGCACCTGAAGTCTTCCTCCACATGTAAAACTGGAAAGTTGCCATATGACCTTTATTTTTATTGTGTTGTTGCAATGTTAAACCAAACAAAACCAAAAAGAAAAAAGTTTTTTACTCAGTAGGATTACCATAGCTGAAATGTTATTATTGAGGAGTAGGTCACTATCCAAGGCTCAAAACTAATTTGGCTTTTGACAGAATTCTGGCCCTTTTTGAACTTATAAAATTCTACATCATGCATTTAGCCTATGAAAATTTCTTGATGACTGCAAATATAAAAACTTACATTTTGGCAAAAAGCAGATACTTGCAAACAAGAGATATCTAACCTTATAAAAACTAAGAGATATTTTACCTTTGTAAAAACTGACATAATGTTTGAATCTATGGCATTACCCTCACCATGCTCGAACAGTCTGACACGGCTCTATACAGTTGACAGCTCAAATATTGAAATCTCTTAAATCTTTGAATGGACTGGTCCAAATTCTAAGAATGGCAAATCCATTACGCATATTTTTCAATGTACGAAATTATTTTTTATTGTAGGAGTGCGAGAAGTATCTAGATGTATTCAACATCACTGTGATACGTCAGCAAGCAGAACTGGAGGCGGCCAAGCGTGGAGCTAAACGGGCTGAGGACAAGAAAAATGCGGGATGGTTTGGTGGTTGGTTTGGAGGTGGAGGGAAGAAAAAGGGTGATGGAAAATCTAAAGGAGAAGTGGAAAATATTCGTTAGTTTTTTGTATATTTTAGATGTCAGATTTTTTAATGTACTCTGTTTGTGCACTCTTATCATTATAATTTGACAGTAGTACTTTTTTGGTTAGAATCGTTGACTGCATCAATGTAAATTAACTTAAAGAGAAATCATTTGCTTGTATATTTTGGACATACACTCGTACAGACAGAAAAGCACCCTCGCTGGCATAAATTTTGCTAAACTTAGAGTAGTTGAAACCAGCTTTGGATGTTTCTTCCTTAATTTTATTATGACTATTGCCTTCTTCTTTTTAATGTCAACATTATTCTTGTCAGTGACTTATGTTAATAATAATATTAATAATAATAATAATAATAATATAAACTTAATGTTATACATGTATGTATTTTTAGAGGAACAGTTTTATGAACAGTTTAATGCAGAAGAGAAGAAGAAACTCTACGATGCCATTGGTTACCAGGAAAATGAGGCGGACCCTACTCTTCCAAAGGAGGTAAAATCAGTTATATAGGTCAAAGGTCAATAACAACCCATATAAAATTATGTAAAGCAATTATTCAGGTCAAAGGTCAATATCAACCCAAATAAAGTTACTGTAAATAGTTATACTGTTCCAAAGGAGGTAAAAACAGTTATATAGGTCATAGGTCAATATTGACCAATATAAAGTTATTGTAAATTGCTGTAAGAGCAGGAGATAAGAAATGACACCACCCCATACTTCTGTGACATCTAAGCTGAATTGATTATTCAGTATTTACCTTAATATACATGTAGGACCATGGCTTAGGAATCTTTTTAGCATTTCAAAACTGAAAATTTGAAGACGATGATCTATGTAAAATGCCTAGGTTAGTCATTAACATTGGAAGCAGAACCTAGGTTGTAATAATGTGTTAACAATATTACAGTTTGCGGAATTAAGACTGTATGAAATAGTAACTGATTGTTATTCAATGATTAAGAACTAGTCACTTTAATATACTGTGACTGGATTTTTCCAAATAATTTTGGTAAACTGTATAACGGTATGATGAAAAAACCATAGTTTTAGCAATTTTATATGACATAGTGACAGTACTTACTAAATTGGGCATCCCTGGCCGAGTGGTTTAGGTCGTGTACTTTAAACCACTTGCCCCTCACTGCTGTGGGTTCAAATCTCAACAGGGACTTTGGATTCTTTCATTTGAAGAAGCTATCCAGTTAGCTTACAGAACGTCTGTGGTTCTACTCGGGTGACTGTTTGTGCCTGAAATAATGCACAGAAAGGCTTCCTTCACCAGTTAAAGCTTGAAAGTCGCCATATGACCGCAACTTAAAACCAAACAAAACCTGAAGTGTATGAAGTTACTGATATAAAAATGTTATATTTTACAGTTTGTGGCAGTAAGACTGGTCACCAAGTTAAATAACTTATCAGTCATGCTTCATGATAATTCAAAGACGTAAGTTGTTTTGTTTTGATTTACACTTTTTAGCTGTGATAATTGCAATAAACCAGAAGTGATGACAGTATATTATTTCAAAAAACCAAGCAAGGAACCAGAATTATAAAAGTTAATTACACTTTTAAATTTTCAAGCCAGGAACAATATCTGATAACAATTTGTAATAGCAATTAAAACAAAAAGAGTCAAACATCAGGATGGTTTGTAAACTGGTTTAAACAAAGATGTACCGGTTTTAGTCTATAAGACCTAATTTTGGAGGTTTTCAAAATTTAAGTACCAAACATCAAGCAGGGAACCAGAAATGCTTATCGTTCATTGTGTATAATTATCAAGCCAGGAACCATAAGTGATTATTGTTCATTATGTTTACAGGGAACCACAGATCTTGAAGATGCAGTTAAAGAGTGTGTTTGCCTCAGTGGGCCAGAGACCAGCTGCCAATGCTGTCAAGTAAGATACATTTTTATCACATTTCAAATAATAATGGTTCTGTATATTAAACATTTTATATTAAAAAAAAAAACAACAACAAAAAACACACTCTATGTTTAGACTGTTGTTTAGACTGTTTTATGACTTGAAACCCAAGCAAAAAAACCAAACAAAAAACACTCTATGTTTAGACTGTTTTTATATTTTTATATGTAAGGTTTTATTATTGTTCTCATATTTTATGCATGTTTTTTTTTTTTTTTTTTTTTTTTTTTTTTTTATTAGATCTACCAGTAATATTTTGTTAAATAGTTGGGCATCTTTTATTACAAGGGAAAGAGAATTTTAAATGATGCAAATTTTAAAGTTGATATTAAAAATAGGTTCCATTTTTATCAAAGTTTTTCAATGACTATCAGGAGGTGAAAGATTTTAATTGAGAAATCATGCAATTTTGCTTCTGTAGTTAAAGAAACTTTTCTAAATCAAAATTTACGAATTTTGAACATTACTGTATTATTTTAACAGGGTAGATTTAAAGATGGACAAGTTTACATTACTGGGCACCCAGCAGGAAGAGTTTGTACCTAGGATGGTCACTTCTATCACTCAGACAGAGGCAACACAACAGGTCAGACTAACATTTACATATAAATTTAATATAAAATATACTGTAAATTATGATAATGTTTTATTTTTAAAAATTTTGGACTAAATGGCAACCCTAAAAATCAGTTAGCAAAACTTATAACAAAATAGCTAGGTAACAAGAAAGCCATGTCACTTAACAATTCACAAATTTCTACTTTTAATTCTGTTAGAAATATAGCATGGATGTTTGCTTAAACGTTAAAGAAATAATTGAAATATAATGCCTTGTGCAAAAATTTATAAAAATAAATTTCAGCAGATAAAGGGTTAAGGATTCAGTGTTCGGTAAGTTTTCTCAAGGTCGTAAGGAGGGAGAGGTGTTGCTTTGTTTTCATTATCTCTCATGAACAGGCCTAATCAAACTGAGAATGTTTTGTCCAATGTTGATTTGCAGACAGTGTGAGGTGTTGCACTTTTCCATTTTCCCTCATAAACAGTCCTTATCAAACCAAAGTCTGCAATTTTACATTTTAATTTTGATGTTTACATTGCTTACAAAGGATTACTTTTTTCCAGATTTTTATAAATTTTGAAAGTTTTGATAATGAAATATTATTTTTCCTACAGGCGCTATCATTGCTAGATGTGTTGTTTGAGACCAACCCACTGGATGGACAGTGTGACACTAGAGTTAGAGTGAACACCAGACCTGTGCAGATTATCTATGATGCTGTAAGTATTCTAAAAAAATGACCTTGAAACATCAAGGTCAAACTTTTAAGTTCAAAGGTCAAACAAAAGACCTGTTCAGATTATCTATGATGCTGTAAGTATTTTTACAAGATGATCTTGAAATGTCAAGGTTAAACTTATAAGTTCATAGGTCAAAGACAAACCTGTGCAGTAAACCTTTGATGTTGTACCTGTTTTCAAAGATGACCTTGAAATATCAAGGTCAAACTTGTAAGATCAAAGGTCAAAGACAGACCTGTGCAGATTGTCTATGATGCTGCAAGTATTCTTATAGATGACCTTGAAATATCAAGGTCAAACTTGTAAGATCAAAGGTCAAAGACAGTCCTGTGCAGTTGATCTTTGATGCATTTAGTATTTTTAAAAGATGACCTTGAAATATTAAGGTCAAACTTGTAAGTTCAAAGGTCAAATACAGACCTGTGCAGTCAACCTTTGATGTTGTACCTGTTTTTGAAGATGACCTTGTAATATCAAGGTCAAACTTGTAGGTCCAGGGGTCAAAGACAGACCTATGCAGTTCATATTTGATGCAGTAAGTGTTTATTAAAGATGACCTTGAAATATCAAGGTCAAACTTGTAAGTTCAGAGGTCAAAGGCAGACTTGTGCCATTAATCTTTGATGCAGTAAGTACTCTCAGTTCATCTTCAATGCAATAAGTGTTTTCAAACTTGACCTTGAAAATTAAGGTCACAATTGTAAGTTCAAAGTCAATGTTTCATTCAATATTTCTTATACAAAAATTAGCTATTTTAGGACTTTTGTATTAAATAAAAGCTATTTTCACCACCTTTGTGAATGGTAATATCCATTAGTCCAGGTGTTTTTTTTAAACAATATTATATAAGGTTTAATATTTGTAAATAGTCACATGGTTTTATCTTGAAATTAATTATGATACTAAATGTATGTGAAATTTATACAAATCAACTTTTTAACATGTTTGATTTTTGTCTTCTATAACAGATTACAGTCAATCAGATGGCAGAGTTTTTCAAACCACCAAAAGATATTCAGCTGAAACAGTGAGTTATTTGATTACTTAATGTTCAATGTAAAATTTGTGACAAAATGTTTCGTTATTATTCAGTGAGCTGGGTAATATTAATATGAAGGTTGGCCACAGTGGCTGATTGGTTTCAGTTGCTGACTCCGAACCAATTGCATCTCACTGGTGTGGTTTCTAAGTCCAACCTGGGATGCCTGTGACTTTATATGCTTTCATTTAAGTCAGTTATCCAGCTAGGTTTTCAGAGTTTTCATGCTTGACATAATGCACAGGTCTTCCTGTACAAGGAAAACATAACATATCGTAAAATAAACTTTATCACATACCAGAGCGACTCCATAAAAAATGGTATTGCACCGTCTTGCATATATATTGAGACGTGATGTCATTTTTGTTATACAATCTTAGTGTAAAGACATGCTAAATGTTAGTATTACACTATAGATGCATCAATGAAATTTTTTTTTTAATCACTTTAAACAGTCTTTATTTTGGGTATGAGATAAACAGAATATTTTATTTGTGTAGGTTTATTACTAAATTTATTGAACTGGTTGAATAAAATAATATTATGTTTGCCAGAGGCAATTTTATTCCACTCATTCAATAAATTCAGTATTGAACTTACACTCATTCAGTATCCTCTATTTAGAATTAAACATATTGTACAAGTTTATAGTCAGAGAAAAGGTTAATAATGGTATACGTAGTTATAGCAAAGCTTAAAACAAGAAAGTCCCCATAAACCCTTTACAGTATCAGTGTCACTCAATCAGTCTTCATATTAAAAAGAATCTTAAAGTTGACCACTGTATTATTTTGATTTCTTCTAATTATCCAAATTATATTGATCACCATGTTCATACAGTGTTATATTTCAGAAACCTATAATCAAAGAATTTTTCTTTATAACAATTAATGTCTTCTTATTTGTGTTCTAATAAATGTATTATAACATTATTTTGTAAAGGTTATCTCAGGCGGCTATGTCCAAGTTTGATGAGATAAAGGAACAGTCGGCAACAGGACTTCAACATGCTATAGACCTGAAGAAGTACACAGAGATAGCTGTAGATCTACAACCTTCTTATGTTATTGTGCCTCATGGTGGAAAATGGACAAAAAATAAGTAAGTAAATTTATGCTGACAAAAAATATGAATTCTAAGAAGCATGTATGTGAGGGTCTATTCTTCCTACTGTCCTTCAGCCATATTTGCGTAGAGTTCCACTCCTGAAAAATTATTTGGTTAAGCATAGACACACAGGTTAAGCAAATCTTTAGTCCAGTCATATTACTAAGTGGTTTAACTTAAGCTTTCATTTTTGGACCGATTTGTCAAATGTTTGGTCTGTAATACCTGATTTGTTATAGAATTTTTTCAGAATATTATAGGGAAAGTAGACTTCTGTATGTATACAATGTATTTAAGATTCCATTCCACAATGTATTTAAGATTCCATTCCACATATATTATCAAGTTGAAACTGTCTCTCTGAAAAACTTTAAAAAAATCAAATTTTTATGCCCCACCACTTATTGCCCCATCTGCTTTTGGGGGGTGGGGGCATATATAGATTTTCACTTGTCCAGCTGTCTGTCCATAGACTGATATAAAAGTAGATATGTGGGGCAGCCATTTAATATGGACACATTTCTAGTTTTGAGCTCAACTATTCAAAGAACAAAAAGAACTGTTGTACTCACCAAGGTGTCTGCCTCAGCGTTACACTTCCGTTCAGCTTTTGCGTGCAAGTTGATACCAAAACTTCTGAAGGGAAAGAGTTCAAACTTCACACACTTGTCCTCTGTGATTATGTAATATGATGGGCACAGGTCCTATAACTCTGAGTTCACTCTTCACAGGGTTATTCTTCTTCCCTTTCCTAACTGTCAAGCACTGATAATAGCTGAGCTAACAGAAGCTTTTGTTGTCTAAGATATGGTTTTAATATCATGCTGGCATATTATATTTTCAGAGATGTAGCTAAGTTGGTACTAGACCTGGGTAATCTGAAGATTGGTACAGAAAAGAGCCAAACAGATGATAGTGAAGGGCCAAAGAGTCCCCAGTCACTGGAAGACGTCATGTTGAAAGCTTATGATAAATTCAATATAAAACTGGATAGGGTACAGTTACTGATGGCTCATGCAGGTAAAATTGAGAGGTTTTCTTTTCTTCAGGTTGATTTGTTATAATTTCTTTTATCTTATAAATTTTAACCCTTAACCTGATGAAATTTTAGGCCATGGATTTTCTATGCTTTGAATTTTGAGCAGTCTGTTCACAATTTAAGGGATTTAAATATTAAATTATCAAAAAATGAGCAACCAACAGTTAAGAGTCTGGTTACAACTTCAGTAAAAAAAAAAGACCCCTCTTTTAAGACCACAAATAGGACTGGACCAAGGTGGTCTTAATAGTGAGGTGGTCTTAATCCCAGGGATATATTTAGTAGGGTTTCTACTGTACAATGTAAATGCAAGCTGGCCTGAGTCTTTATTCTTATGGCAAGGCGATTCCATATTTTATATAGATAAAAAAAATGTGAAATAACACAATCTTAGATGTTTTGCATTTTGTTCACATTCCATATAGATGGGAAAAAAATGCCATCTGAGAAGTTTGTAATATTTTTTATCTTTATCTGTTCAAATACATGGGAAAATCAATGCTTGTATAAATTCTATGGAAGGACTGTAGACAATAATATGGACTTTAAAGCTGTTTTCTATTATGATTTTATGAACTTTATCAAAATATGCGTGTTCTGTTACTGCTTTTAATCTGCATTTATTTTATCACTTTTATTACACAGTTCAGTTGTTTTATCTGTTTGAACATTATTTTATTGTATGTTAAAGGTGAAGACTGGCAGAAGGCGAGGTCGTTGTCGGATTCCAACTTACACATCTTGTGTCCCATCTCTATATCTATAGTGTTACAGAAATGTATGTTTGATAAAGATCCTAGAATGGCAAAGTAAGTCTCGTGATATTTATAATGGTTATTAATGTTGTTACTGCACTAAAGGGTTGATTATTCAATGATTAAAATTTGTAAAGTTACTTATTGATTTAAATCACCATATCTTAATTTCTCCAGTACTTAATAAAAAGAAATTTATTAGAAAAATGAGGAATTATAAACAAGAGGTGGTGATATACATAGAGGGTATTGAATGAGTGTAGGTTCAATACTGAATTTATTGAACAAGTTGAATAAAACTATATTATGCAAGCCTCTGGTTAAATAAATCTAGTAATGAAGCTACAGGAATATAATATCCATCACAAAATATACAAAATATATAAGTAAATATGCTACTATAAGAAAACATTGCATGATGAGTATATCAGTTTTCATAATTTCTGTTCTGAAAATAATTGTAAAATGCAAGAAAAAGAATCAAACACCGGCTGCCGGTACAGACCGGAATATCTAGCTCTGGGGATAACTGTTTAGCGGAAACTCGGCTGAACCTTGTTACGGCCGTAAACAGCCATCCTCAAGCTATATATTCCGGTCTGTACCGGCAGCCAATGTAAGATTCTAATAATATAGCCCAAGGTAAAAGGAATATTATTATACAATATATATATGCATATATTGACAGGATGAAGGTGGCAGGTATGTTACCTCTACTCAGTTTGAACATGTCAGATCACAGACTACAGGAGATTCTGTCCCTGGTACAGAGTATACCCCTGCCAGAGAGTGCCCCTGTGGAACCAGCCGACCCCTTTGCCGAGGTACGTCTGAGCAATATGAGTCTTTGTATTTTGTACTGTACTTGTATAACTGGATATCAAATGTAGGATGTCGAAAAATTTACGAATTTAAAATTCGCGACTTTACGTGTGTTGGAATATACGTGAATCACCAAATTCGGAGTAACGTAAAAACTTAATACAGGTTGGGTGATATTTACGCTAGAGGATAGACTAGTTTAGCGATTTTCATCAATTCACACTAGAGAATAGTTTAACAATTTTCATCGATTCGAAAAAGTCTCAAATATTTCCATGTTGCTAACTTAACCATTTATACAGTATTAGGTTGCTTTGGTAGGTTTGAGGTTATAATGCATTATGTATAATTAACAGTTTTGAAATTCATCAGCTTACGAGAATCAAAAGTTCAGTGAGTGCATTTAAGTAATAAGCACTAGTGTTATATGTTGAGAGAACCCTATAGTAGTATGACTGTAACTAACTGTCAATCAGATTAGAGTTGAAAACCTTTACTACTAGGCCACCACTCCTTTTCCAGTGTCTTGCTTTACCAATTCTGTTAGTTTTATTTCATATAGCTACTTATCTTATGATAAAAATTAAACTTAACCTTTTGTCAAAGCCATGGTAAAGAATTTATCAAGGTAAATCTTAGACAAGTTCTGTATTTAAAATAATATTAGGATTTAAATTTACTAAACAATTAATTTTATCTGTTTCAGTTACAATTTGTGTAAAAGCAGTATTGATATATTTTATAAATCATGACTTACATATTTGTAATTCATATGTAGGACTGGTTTGGGAATATAAATTCTATGATTTATATATCATGATCCACACATGTAAGTTATAAATTATTAACACAAGTATTATATATATCAGGGACCGGGTGTATTACCGACGGTGGATGTGAACGAGAACAGGATAGCTAAGAATATAGTGATAAGTGAGGAGGGCGACAAGAAAGCGTTACAGACCAGTGAATCAATGGAGTTTGTTAACTACACTGATATAGAGCTCCAGTTTGTTATAAATGAGGTATTGACTTAAAATAAAAAATCTAAGGATAACTTTTTGTAAGTTGACCAAGTTTCCTGCTTTTTCTAATATTTGAAATGAATTGCACCGGATGAAGGCTAGTTAAATATCAGAAAGACAAAAAAATATCTGATAAAAACATATATATATAAATATATATTCCAGACTGTATTATTGATGCACATCTCTATAACCACATATTTCGGATGATTCCTAATGTATGAACATGGGTACAATTGAACTCAGTTTAACAAAAAATGCAATGTTTTAAGATAAAAAAATGAAGTATATTGTCCACTATTGAAACTCAGTACAGACATAGTGAGAATGTAAAGTATGTCAGTAATACATCTTTCCAGGCTAATTTTATCAAGGTGAATAAATTTTATAAACCCAAGAAGAGTTAATTACCACCAATAAAATGTAAGACCAGCCTCTGGCAAGCTTCACATGGATTTATTAAATTTCAATGAATTTAATTCTGAAAACTACATAAATTTGAATTTCATATTTATTTATCATATCACAAACCCAGAAATAAAATAGAGAAAACAAGTATATTGTTGTGACCTCTACTATATAGAGAAGTGACTGCATACTTAATTTGGCTCATTTGCATATTTTATGCCCGACTGTGGCACATTCTTTTTTCTACGGAATTGGGTTTATGATAGAACAGATGAATTCTAATTTTAAAATTTATAATATTAATCTCGCAAATTTTTTGTATTCCGATAAATGAATTTGAATATAGCTCAGGTTGGAATAAAAAGACATCCAGTTACTGAGTCTGGCTGTGAATGACCTTTGAACTGAGGTCAAGGTCAAGTTATTGGTATTCATGGTAAGTTTATTTTTACTTTCAGATAAGCTTGAATATAGCACAGAGGTTGGATAATAAGGATGTCCCATTGCTGAGGCTGGCTGTGAATGACCTTGGAACTGATGTCAAGGTCAGGACCTTTGACCTTATTGCTGAAGCTTTCCTAGGTGGAATACAAGTGCAATATCTTAAAGTTAATGGTAAGATTTTTAATATTTTAAGGCTTTATTTATATACATGTATATCTGATTACTTTGATGAAATTAAGATGAAACAAGTTTAGGTTATTTATAGGAAGAAAACATAATGTGTAGGAAATTGACTTACAGTAAACAAAATCTAAAGATAACTTTTTCGTAAGTTTACCAAGTTTCCTGCTATTTCTAATATTTGAAAGAATTGCACCGGATGAAGGCTAGTTAAGTATTAGAAAGACAAAAAAATACCTGATATAAACTCGAGACAAATAGTTATAGTACAGTGTAGACTTAAACTTGCAGTTTTCAATTTGCAAAATTCTTTAAAAGTTACAGAAGCAGTAATTTAACTTTCAAGGAATAAAATGGATGTGTGGTGAAGTTTTTAGTTTTTATCAGTTTAGTAAATAAGAGATCATGAGCTGCCTAGGTTCAAACAATGTTTCCTTGAGCAAGAAACTTTACGCTAGTTGGTCAGTACTGGTTAGTTCCGGGAAAAGATTCCAGAAATTCTTGAAGCTTATAGATTCCTGCGCAGTCAAATTAAAGAATGAAACTTATGATAGTAACCGGAGAGAAATTTATATATATTATATATTTACTTAATTGGGTTTCAGTATTTCATTAAAATAACCATATTTTAATTGTGAGAGTGTATTTTTAGAAAACCAGAAAGCTTTTAAGTGTACAGGTGAGCTAAATGTTATTTGCCGTTTTGCGTCTGCTGCAGTTTGACGTTGGTTTTTGATACATTAGACACCGCTACATATTGACACCCCTACATATCTTCATGCTTTCTTTTGTGTCTTTTAGTGTCTTTGCTTTACTTTGATGTCCTTGTGGTTTATTTATGGGGATAAAAAAAACTAATATCATGATATCGTTTTAACAAAATCATTTTTCATATTTCATTGCAGTATGTGTACTTTTTTTTAATACTGTATAAGTTTACTATATGTTAAAGCACACTTTTGACATTTATCATGTGTTAACACAGCTTATATACATCTATAATGATTATGTGTCAACACAGTTACAATGATATGAATGTGTTAACGCAGTCTCTATGAAAGTCTATGTGTTAACATAGCTATCATGATAAAATGTGAACACAGTTTCAATTATAATAATGTGTTAACACTGCTTCTGTCATTGTAATAACTATGTTAACACAGTTTCTGTAATGTTAATATGTCAACACAGTTTAGTGATGTTGATGTGTTACACAGGTTCTTACAATGATAATGTGTTAACACGGCTTCTAAAATGTTCCTGTCAACACAGTTTTATTATGCTCCCCGAAAAATTTTGGGGGAGCATATAGTCGGCGCCTTGTCCGTCTGTCCGTCTGTCCGTCTGTCCGTCCGTTGTCTTGTCCGGAGCATAACTTGAAAACCCTTGGAGATAATTTGTTGAAACTTCATACAGTGGTAGAGGGCATCGAGGGGGAGTGCAGTGTCAAAGAACCATAACTCTATTTTGCCCGGTTTTTGAATTATCTCCCCTAATAGAAAAATCTTGTCCGGGGCATAACTCTAAAAGTATAAGAGATATCAACATGAAACTTTGTAGGTGAATAGATCTCAATGGGTAGATGTGCAGCGCATAAGAACAATAACTCTTTTTGTCCTAATTTTGGAGTTATTGCCCTTTGTTAATTTTAATACTTTGAACTTTGTCCGGAACATAACTTGAAAACCCTTAGAGATAATTTGTTGAAACTTCATACAGTGGTAGAGGGCATGGAGGGGGAGTGCAGTGTCAAAGAACCATAACTCTATTTTGCCCGGTTTTTGAATTATCTCCCCTAATAGAAAAATCTTGTCCGGGGCATAACTCTAAAAGTATAAGAGATATCAACATGAAACTTTGTAGGTGAATAGATCTCAATGCGTAGATGTGCAGTGCATAAGAACAATAAATCTTTTTGTCCTAATTTTTGGAGTTATTGCCCTTTGTTTATTTTAATACTTTGAACTTTGTCCGGAACATAACTTGAAAACCCTTGGAGATAATTTGTTGAAACTTCATACAGTGGTAGAGGGCATGGAGGGGGAGTGCAGTGTCAAAGAACCATAACTCTATTTTGCCCGGTTTTTGAATTATCTCCCCTTATAGAAAAATCTTGTCCGGGGCATAACTCTAAAACTATAAGAGATATCAACATGAAACTTTGTAGGTGAATAGATCTCAATGGATAGATGTGCAGTGCAAAAGAACTATAACTCTGTTAAGCCTTATTTTTTAATAATCTCCCCTTTTAGAAAATCTTGTCCAGGACATAGCTGTAAAACTATAAGAGATATCAACATGAAACTTTGTAGGTAGATAAATCTCACTGGGTAGATGTGCAGTGCACAAGAATCATAACTCTACCTTGCCTAATTCTGGAGTTATTGCCCTTTGTTTATTTTTACTTTTTGAATTGTCCAGGACATAACTCGGAAATCATAAGAGATATTATCAAGAAACTTTGTAGGTTGATAGATCACATTGATTAGAAGTGCAGTGCAAAGATCTGTAACAGCCTTGCCTAATTTTGGAATTATTGCACTTTGAACTTTTTCCACGGACATAACTCTGAAACTACAAGAGGTGTACTTTCCTGTGTCCAAAACCTATTCGGGGAGCATCACCCGGCTCAAACCGGGCTCTTGTTGATACGGGTAATAATGTGTTAACACATCTATGTTAACACAGTTTCTTACAATGATAATGCTTCAACACATCTTCTGTAATGTGTATGTGTCAACACAGTTTCAATAATATAATTGTGTTAACACAGATTCTGTTATGGATATGTTCACACAGCGCCAACATAATGTTTTCACGTATATGTATTTATGTATTTTATGTTCTTTATGTGTATAGCTGATGAACCAAGGAGCCAGTATGTTACAGGTTGGAGTCTAGTATTAAACTGTTTAATGTTTCACACTATTTCGTCTTGCCTTGTTCAAAATAGATGTCAGATATTTTTGCAATGCAGCAATTTTGCCCATTATGCCACTTTTACTGGCAGTACTATTGCTGTTTTATGCCCCTACTTAGGGTTGTGTTATAGACTTGCTTTTGTCATCCCACTGTCACACTGTCCGTTGGTAGATTGACAAAACATTGAAATGTTGGGGCATCTGTGTCTGCTACGCACACATTTCTCATTCAGATTTATTCAATTACGTACCATAGAAAATACAATTTAAGTTTTAATTTTGATTTTAACTTTAATTTTGATTTAAATTTTGAAGTCATTTCAAAAATATCTGACCAGGCTGTAAATTGCTTCAGGTTATAGGTCTGTTTATATTTGTTGCTTGTTTTATAGATAGTTTAAATAGATCTTAGATAGGAAATGTTACAATGAGGGCAAAGAAATTATAATGTATGTAAACGAAAACAATCAACAGAAAGGATAATAATCCACATAAAATAAAATAATCCACATAAAGCTATGTATCATACATGGAGAAAATACATAGTTACAGTAAAAGCCCTCAATTGAGATCACTATCGGGACTGGATCAAAGTGGTTTTAATTTGGGTGATCTTAATTGTGGATATTCTTATCATTACTTAAATAATTTATGACAATGGTCTATTTTAGTTATTTTGTATGAACAAACAATATGTATCTTAACCTGCAAATACAATATAAAAGTATGTTTTAATATTTAATCAGATTGATGAAAACATACAGGTATTATTGAAGAAATTTAAAATTAAATTCTCTTTGGTATGATTTTAATATTAATTATTAGCAATCAACCAAAAGGAAAATAATTTAAGTAAAAGATAATTTTCTGCCTGATCTACATAAAGGAAAATTGTCTACATTATTGATTATAATTTATAATAGGTAAATTATTGAAAGCCTTTTGAAGCTTCTAAAGGCTAGTAAGGTATTGAATAATCAATTGCATTTAAGATATACAAAAATTAAATAACATTTGTTAACTTGTAATTTATCATTTTAATAAAAATTGCATTTATGGATAAAAAGGTACAATATATGTATAGCAATGTGACATAATGTCTATTTATAGAATATGTAATATATATAATAACTATTTTACTAACTTGCACATTACATCTTAAAGTCAACAAAGTAGACCATCTTGCTCAATATTTGTGGTTTGTCACTTTTATTTAAAGGCACATTATGCCTCAGAAATGAAGAAATTCCTTCTGACATACATGTAGAAAGTGCAAACATGTGTTCTTAAATGTTTGAATAATGAATGGACTGAAGAACATTAAAAAGCTTATCAACTGAAAAAATAATACCCAAAAAACACAGAATGTGAAATCATGTGTGATAAAGGTAGAAAAATGTAAACAAAGTAGATTTTTAAATTCCATAAAAAATTACTATAACTGTACTTACTGCCAAAACACATCAGAGGCCAAGGATGTGTCAAGTAAATGGCCAGAGAGAAGCTTTTTAGAAACTGTAACAGGACTCCACAATAAAAAAAAAAATGTGCTAAATAAAAACATAAGCACTGTCAAGGCTTATGGGCCTTTAAAGTTTTACTATTGTTTGAAATGTTCCACATTCATAGAAATTTATTAAAAAAATGTGGTACGTGGAGGCTTTGAATTATCCGGCACAAAACAAAATATTGCAGGATGGTCTACTAATGATATAATTATGTATACATTTTCACATGCTTGTTTATAGTTTATTGCTTCACACTTATGTTATATAGCTTTTCAGTTATGTTATATACTGTAAATTCATGTCATTTCGTGGGCACAAAATTTCGTGGTTTTGTAAATAAAGATGTTTTTGTGGTTTCCTAAATTCGTGGATCGTATGTTTGTGCAGAAAAAGTAAAATGCACATAACATTATAAGAATAATTGTATCACAAACAAAATCAGATTTCCTTGGATCTTAAATTTGTGGATTGACATATCCACGGAAAAAAAAAACATGAAAATAAGTGCCTCACGAATAGTATAGCTTTTCAGTTATGTTATAATGCTTCAATTGTTTATGTTGCTTATTGAATGTTTTATTACTGTTTTCTGCATGTCTCACAGTCTCTGATGGTGTTACATCACAACTTGGTGATAAGTTGCTGCAAGGTCAGTGTAATCACTTAAACAATTTTTAACATTTCATTCAATGAAGTAAAGTCAGTATACCATTCCTTTTCATGATTGTGTTAGTTGAAGAAGGTCCAATATAACATTCCTTTCTCATGAGTGTAATCCACTTTAATAGTCCATTCATTTGTTTCTTATATGAAGTAAAGTCAGTATAACATTCCTTTTCATGAGTTCATTCCAGCTTAATATTTATGTGTTTATTACATAAAGTTAAGCCAGGTGTAACAATTTACATTCATGGGCTTTTTACATAAAGTAAGGCCTGTGTTACAGTCCATTCACACATACATGTGACAAATGAAATGGGCCAAATCTGGATTTTCAGCTGGATTTTGAGGCTCAAAACTGGATTTGTTTATCGACTCAAATTTCAATGCGTGTTTGGCACATTTGGTTCAAAGTAGTTTACCCTCAAAATCATTAAATGATTATACTTTTTATGATTTTATTGTTGATCAATATTAATTTATTTCACCAAAAAAAAAAAAAATAGATAAATAAATAAGTGTACTGTAGTCATACAGGCTATTCCTAAAACAGTCACACTTTCACATTTCATTATTTTCAGTTTGAAGAATTATATGTCTTTTCAGTCATTCAATAATTAAACACAAGCTATTTGAAAACGTGCAGAACATAAGACTATGACAGTTAAATAACGTAACATAAGATAAAGAATCGTTCTGTTAATTAAATCCACATTTTTGCCTCGATGATTGTGTAATTCCTAAACAAAACAAAAAATTACCCACTCACTAAAAATAGGTTAATTAGACATCTGAAACAGGTTTTGAATGATCCACTTTAAATGATTCTGCTCACCTTTTATCTTTATCAGTGCGGCACTAATCAAAGAAAATCAAAGGTTGAACCGAATTCATACATGTAAATTTACAGGGTAGTTTTGATGACGTAGCGTGTAATTCCTACTGCCAAATTACAAAAGAGGTCAATTGACTGACACACGACATGTGATAAGTTAAACATGTGAGAATAACTTTGGGTCTAGGAACTGTTTATTACGCCACCTCACTGTCAATTAGCGACTCAACATTTAATCCGCTATAATTTTGGATATGGACAGATAACAATCAATGCCCGGAGGCACGGTTTACATTTTAGATACAGGTGCTTTGTTTGATTTTTTTTATGTTGTTTTTTTTTTAAATATCGGGAATTCAAGCTGTAATATCGGGAATCGGGATCAGTGTTGAAATATCGGGATTTTTTTAAATCCCGCCGTGATGTCACATATATGTTCACATGTTTATTACATGAAATAAAGGCAGTGTAACATTTCATTCATGTGTTTATTACAAGAATTGAAGTCAGTGTAGCATTCTTTTCATTTGTTTATTAGATGACATAAGATAAAGTTAAGTATAAGATGAAGTGAAGTGGGTCACAAATGTTCTGTTAAATAGTTAGTGGATTAATACATGCATGAATGTGTACTAACAAAATATTTATCTGTTCATATATATTATATATGTACATGTATCAGTAATATATAAATGTATAGAAAATAACCTAAAACATTCCACTTATTTCAAGAAATAGAGTAACAAAATAAAAAAAGAACAAAAAAACCCCCCCAAAAAACCACTTCATTATATTTACTCAAAACTAACAAATTCTTATATGTTTTGCCTAATGTTGCATTTAATGTTTTATGTGTTTTCTTTATTTATATATATATATTTTTAACCAGGTTTTCCGAAGGAAAAAACTGGTTATAAGATTGAGGTTGTCGGCGGCGGGCGGGCGGGCGGATGGGCGACGGGCGGGCGTAAACAATTTCTTCTGTGCGCAACTCCTCCTACATTTCTCAACGGATTTTGACCAAACTTTCACAGAAGCTTTGTCATCAAGTGCCCTGGCGCATATTGTCGGGGTTTTGCGATTAGATAATATTTGACCTAATTATGGCCCTTTGTTTTTTTTCCTTATATAAAATATATAGTGAACAATTTCTTCTGTGCGCAACTCCTCCTACATTTCTCAACGGATTTTGACCAAACTTTCACAGAAGCTTTGTCATCAAGTGCCCTGACACATATTGCCAGGGTTTTGCAATTGGTATATATTTGACCTAATTATGGCCCTTTGTTTTTTTTCCTTATATAGAATATATAGTGAACAATTTCTTCTGTGCGCAACTCCTCCTACATTTCTCAACGGATTTTGACCAAACTTTCTCAGAAGCTTTGTCATCAAGTGCCCTGACACATATTGCCAGGGTTTTGCAATTGGTATATATTTGACCTAATTATGGCCCTTTGTTTTTTTTCCTTATATAGAATATATAGTGAACAATTTCTTCTGTGCGCAACTCCTCCTACATTTCTCAACGGATTTTGATTAAACTTTCTCAGAAGCTTTGTTATCAAGTGCCTGGCACATATTGTCGGGGTTTGTGATTGGATAATATTTGACCGAATTATGGCCCTTTGTATATTTTTTCCTTATACAGAATATATAGTGAACAATTTCTTCTGTGCGCAACTCCTCCTACATTTCTCAACGGATTTTGACCAAACTTTCTTAGAAGCTTTGTTATCAAGTGCCTGGCACATATTGTCGGGGTTTTGTGATTGGATAATATTTGACCGAATTATGGCCCTTTGTATATTTTTTCCTTATACAGAATATATAGTGAACAATTTCTACAGTGCGCAACTTCAAAAATTAAGCAAAAATAAAGTACTGTTTACCTTTCTAAAACATTTGGGGAAAAAAGGCGAATAGACAAAATAAAATTTCTCAATCATTTTTGTTTGAGGAATATTAAAAAAGCCATAATTCCTCCTAAAAATTCAATTAAAAACAAATGCCCCTTCATGACAAAGCTTCTGTGAAATATTTTGCTGAAAACCTGGTTGCATCGCATTGCGATGTTCCTTGTTTTTATTTTTTTTGCATAAAAACTAGATAGAAATTATGAAAATGGCATAAAATAAAGGTAATATGTATGTCCGCCATTGCAGTCAGGAAAATTTTCAATATTTTACATTACTTTGAAATTATCATTCTTTGTCTAAAATAGAAACCAAAGTCTAATATTTCACTCAGTCTCAAAAATGTGTGATATGATTTACATCTCACTGGTGTAAATATTTGTATTTAGTCAAAATGCTTACATTAAATACGATATTTTGCAATAAAACATACATTTTTCCTTTGAATTTTTAGATAGCTATATATTTGTTGTTTCTTGATTGTAAATTATTTGTACATATTTGGATTGAATTGATCTCAGAATACCTAGATTGAAAGAAATTGTCAGTATATTTTAGTGGGTGAGACGTGTATGAATTCATCACCAAACCTGCTATTCTAGCAGGGGAATATTTTGTCCTCAAACATCAAAATTTTTATTCTGTTTACATGCAGTGTACATGTATAGTAAATCTCAGAGATACTCTGTGTCTATTATCTTTCAGTAAGGTTATGAAAAAAATATATATAAAAAAATTTCATATACTTTTTAATGCATATTGTATAAAGTCAGTATGTCAGTTACATCCCTTGTTTTTCTTCATACAAGAAGATAAAGAAATTTTGATCGAGAGCTTAAGTTATCATAATGGTTCATAAAGATTGAATAGTCATGTCAATGCAATAGGACAATCAAATTTAAAATTGAAAAAGATGATACTAAGGCATGGTTCCAAGTTTTAATGAGAAATATATGTGTATATACTAAGGCATGGTTCCAAGTTTTAATTTGAAATATTTGTATATTATGGTACCTGATTCTTACAGATACAGACCGAGGTCCAGCCATCAATCTTGTCAACACACCAAGACCTCAAGGAAGCAAGTCTAATCTTCTAGCTGTACATTTCCTGAAGGTATGTCAGATATTATTGTAACTTTTAAGTTTGCTGATGAAAATGTAGTCAATTTCAATGTATGAAATACATGTTCATACATTGGGATAAAATAACCGTTTTTCACACTTTTTAGCTCGACTATTCGCAGAATAATCAAGCTAATGCAGTCACCCATTTGTCGGCTTCGGTGTCAGCGTTGGCGTCCCTGTGGTTAAGTTTTTGCGTGTAAGCTGGTATCTCCATAACAACTGAAGGGAATTGATTGAAACTTCACACACTTGTTCTCTGTGATTATCTAATATGATTGGCACAAGTCCCATAACTCTGATTTCATTTTTTGCATAATAATGCCCCTTTTTCGACTTGGAAATTCTTGGTTAAGTTTTTGCATGTAAGCTGGTATCTCTGTAACTACTGAAGGGATTGGATTAAAACTTCACAAACTTGTTCTCTGTGATTATCTAAGATGATTGGCACAAGTCCCATAACTCTGATTTGCTTTTTTACATAATTATGCCCCTTTTTAAACTTAAAAATTCTTGGATGAGCTTTTGCATGTAAGCTGGTATCTCCATAACTACTGAAGGGAATGGATTGAAACTTCACACTCTTGTTGTCTGTGATTGTCTTAGATGATTGGCACAAGTCCCATAATTATGATTTGCTTTTTTACATAATTATGCCCCTTTTTCAACTTAGAAATTCTTGGTGTAAGCTGGTATCTCCATAACTACTGAAGGGAATGGATTGAAACTTCACACACTTGTTTTCTGTGATTATCTAAGATAAATGGCACAAGTCCCATAACTCTGATTTGCTTTTTTGCATATATGCCTCTTTTTTGAGTTAGAAATTCTTGGTTAAGTTTTTGCGTGTGAGCTGGTATCTCCATAACTACTGAAGGGAATGGATTGAAACTTCACACTCTTGTTGTCTGTGATTATTTTAGATGATTGGCACAAGTTCCATAACTCTGATTTACTTTTTTGCATAATTATGTCCCTTTTTCGACTTAAAAATTCTAGGTAAATTTTTGCTTGTAAGCTGGTATCTCCATAACTACTGAAGGGTTTGTACCTTTTCGGACAATTTTATGTATTCATATAGGTAAGCATTATTATACTCAATGAAACACCCTTGTGACAACTTTTCGAATAGTCGAGCGTTACTGTCCTCCGACAGTTCTTGTTATAACTCAAGTCATGAGTTCATGTACATGTATGTAACCTATTCATATGGAAAATAATTTCATCAATATTCTGCAAGTATTTAAAATACATGTAAGTAGCATAAAAGGTTAAGTTAGGGACGTGGAAATACTGGGGAATAGATGAAAATCACTAAAATATCCTCTAGTTTAAATTTCAACTAACGTATCATTAAATTCTACCCTGCACGATTCACTAATATTTTCTCATACAACATTTATGGAATTTTAAATTTACGCAGAAATATTCACTTATTCTGTATATACTTTGAAGAAAATTACACTAAAATAAGATCCTGATGATTATATCTTATTATTTGATTTAAGCTGTAATTGTGCTAATGGGATTTTAATGTACTCTATACTTCAGAAAGTTTTATTTAAATTCTCCCTATGTTCCCATTGGAAAAAGCTTTACACTGATACACATTTATCTCAAGCAATAAAACACAACATAACAACACACTCTTGTTTAACTTCCTATATATGAACACAATTTTTTTTTTCTTCAGGCCAACACAGATGGTCCGGAGTTTGCTACAACGTACAAGAAGACGGAGCAGAGTTTAAATGTAGAGTTCTCTGCCCTTGAACTATTATTACATCAGGAGAGTATTCTAGACTTACTGGTGTTCGCTCAGTCGATACAACCTCCGAAACTTACCGAGGTGGAGAACAAGGTTGCCGACAGTAAACCTGAGGAGAAAAAAGTGAAAACAACCAAGAAAAGTAAGCATTGGTTTTAAATGACATTATTAGAAATGGTGATTTTATGATTAACCCTGACTATACTAATTATCTTGAATGGACTTGTCCATCTTTCAATCTGGACAAAACCATTTATTAATTTTACGGGAAAATTTTAAAATGTGAATTGGCTGAATAGCATGAATAGCAGACAGTAGAAAATGTGTACTGGCTGAATAAAAAACAGTGTAGACCATAATCAGACAGCACAGATGTGCCACGTATCTTGGTCTGAACTGGTTGCATCTATAGAATCTATTGCTGCCAGCAGGCTAAAGGATAAAGGATAGAAAGCTATATTGCATGTAGGTTGTCGGAAATTAATGGTAACAGTCAGCTCGTCTTTTAGTCAAACAAAGCAACAACAACAATATTAATGTTTTCGTCATGAAGCTTTTATGAAACTTTTTCTTTTTGTACAAAATTATAAGTGAGAAAATACTCCAAGGTGAGATGTGACTGTGAAATTCTGTATATACTTTGTAAGGATTTTTCAAACATCATATTCAAAGCAATGTAGATATGTGTTTTTTGTTTGTGCTTAAATATAAATATAGGAATTTAAGTCCTGATGATGATCTTGGACAGTGGGTCTAATGGTCATTTGGCACTTATTGCTCATTGAGAAATCATGTGAGATAAGTAGTGGGTCACTTGCAGAGGAATCTGTAATTACTGGTTAGTTATCAAGGAAAGTCGTTTATGTAGACTTGACTACAGAGATATGACTAAAACAGTATTAAAATTGGCGTTAAAACTGAAACAAATAGAACAAAACAAACAAAAAATCCAAATGATGATTAATCTGTATTATTGTATTTACAGAGGAATTTACCAAAGACCCGGAGGTGATAGACATGTCGGTGAAAGCTGCATTGAAAATGTTTTCTGTCACCATTTGCTCAGAGGAAAAACTTATCACAGATGTCAAAATTAAAGGTACTCTAATTTCATGATGAACAAACATTAACATTTTTCAACACTTTTGTAAAATACTGGTCAATTGGCTTCTTGTTTGGTCTTAACCATACTTAAATGGGTTTTATGCAAGCTTTGTTGATTTTGCAACCTTAATGATATTGAAGACGAATACCATTTTATTTGAATTTTAGGTATAGAAGCTAATGTAACACTTCAAGAGAGGCAGACTTTAGTTGGTGCATTGCTGAAAGATATATCTGTAAGAGATCCAAGTCCTGAAACATTCTATCCTAATGTAAGTATATTGTATGTAGTCTTGGCTTAATGAGGGTCCATCTGCCCTTTCAGGTACTTAGAATACTAGCACCAGACATGTCCTTAAATGTTATTATATACCAAAAGGTGACATATAAATTTTGACTTCAGTAATTCACTGAATGATTCTAAATATGTATGCAAGCTGATTTTTGTAATGTAAATATAATTTATACTCTGAGGTTATTATGATATGTTGTTGAGTACAATCCTAAATTTTCATTAGACAAGTGCACTGCTATTATACCTATATTGGACAAGATACTAGCCAAGTCTAATGTAGGTTTTTTGCAACCCTATATAAGTTAAAAAGAATCACTAAGTTACTTATAGTAATTGTGTTTATGCTTCCCAAATAGAAAAATATTGGATGCACATATTTGCTTGTTTGTCTTCTCCTGGGTCCTTCCTTTTAACATCACCTTCATTTATTGAACAATATCTTTAGGTTAGGTCAAGGATTATATCAGAGTTTTCTACTTGTCATCATATTTTTCCAGTGACATCATTATAGCCTATATTGATATCATATATATATTTGTCTTGATGCATTTCTAAAATCTGCTTGAAAATTTATTTTGAAACTCTGTCATTTGTTTTGCTTTGAAAATTAATAAATTTTTTATGTTTTATTTATGCAGATTCTAGAAATCCAGGGCAGTGAAGTATTGGCCCTGAACCTTGCAATATTGAATGAGAACACAGCAGGTGATCGCTATGACAACATGAACAATGTAGATATGAAAGTTGAAGTGTCGTTAGGGCGAATCAAGGTCACGTTTCTCAACAAATATGTCAATGATTTGCTGGTGAGTGTGTAAACTTAAAAGATATATTTCTTTGTCCGGTTTTAAGTCACTCTGACACTGTCAAGGTCATATGCCAATTTTCCAGTTTTACTTCGAAAATAAAAGATAAATAAAGATTGCCCTTAAGAGTCAACTTGAAAATATTGCAGACTCAGTTAGATTTTGCTGGTTCATTCATGAACAGAAGTGGTTTTCAAGAATAATATTTGAACACACAGACTTTTTAATATTTTTAACATTTAACCTAGCGATTTCTTTACAGGGATTTCTTGACAACTTCCAAGCAGCTCAGGCAAAGATCAAGGAAGCCGGCGAGACTTTGGCCGAGTATTCCCAAGATGCCGTGCAGAACTTACAGGAGACGGCTTCAAGATTGTCCCTCTCGGTTGATATGAACGCCCCCATTATCTTTATGCCGCAGTGTTCGAAATCTTACAATGTTCTTATGGTAGATCTCGGTCATTTGTCTGTGAAGAATGCTTTTGAGATGCCGGGGAAAAGATCAGCAAATGGGGTACCAGCAGTTCTAGATAAAATGAACGTGACTTTAACAGACTTGAAAGTGTCAAGGTAAATTTATTCTTATATAATGGCTTCTTACTCTATCTGTATTGATATATAACTTGTGAATTATCTTCAGAATTGAGGTAATATATTCATAAATTGGTAAGAGAACAATACTTAAGACTGTTGTGTTTTGCTACATTTATATAAATGTTATTTTGCAAGCCTTCATCATAGTCGCAATACTCAATAAAATATTTTGTCCACACTAGATCATTTGTTATCATCAGTGCTATAGATCAGTTATGATATTTTGTCAGCACTTCAAGTCAGTTTTGATATTTTGTCTGTGCTATAGATCAGTTATGATAATTTGTCATTACTATATATCATTTGTATTATTTTGTCAGGGCTATAGTAGATGCCTCCCAGTACGTGAAGAGTGAGGTGGAGTTATTACAACCGGCCGAAATATCGGTTGGCATCTGTAGAAATATCGCTTCAAGCTGGTTCCATGACGTCCCTGATATTGACATCTCGGGAAATATCAAAGCCATTAAGGTTGGTAACTTGGAGACATTGTGTTGTATTTTTATATGCCCAAAAGACTTTGGGACATATTATGTTATACCCCCTGGCGTCCGTCCGTCTGTCTGCACTACCAAATAGGGATAGGGGGCCATCAAATTGTAAACAGAACAAAGAGAACAATAGAATTCATTACGTAGAGTAAGGAGCCATTGGCCCTCTATTAAACAAGAGAAATAACAAAAGAAATGGCCCCTTATTCCATTTCCATTTGTTAATTTGATAATGCTCTGTAAAAAGTGAAAATTAAGTTCATGATTTGAAATATTTTAATGCCTTTTTCATGTAGTAATTATCTATAATTGAATTTAATCAAACTTATCCCAAATTTAAAACGAGTTTGTATGTATGATCTGTAAAAAAATGTATGTATGATTTGTAAGAAAAATAATCATTATTTACATTCAGTACTTCAAATGTCTTAAACCAACTGATATACATATAATAACTTATAAACTAACTTATATATATAACTTCAGTTGACAATAAGTCAGGGAGATTTTACGGCTATGATGAATGTTTTGAACGAGAATTTGTCTGAGGGTCAGGATAAGACGAAACAGTTACCTGAGAAACCGGAAGAAACTACCGCTGTGTCCACAAATGTTGAAGAAACTGTCACTGCTGAAACTGCTGGTATGTACAGGGAAAAATTAACCTTAAATCTCTAAATTTCTTAAATGAACTTGTCCAGTTTTCAGTATTGGACCAGTCCATTATTGAATTTCGGGATATCAAGGTGAAATTTTTTTAACATGTATATGTTTTAGTAACACCAGCAATGTAAATTTTGTATGGTAACTCTAAGCTATACTATTCTATGAAGACCTCAGGTTTCCCTATTTGCATTATTTAAGGCTTAAGATGGCAATTGTTTAGAACCTCTGACCTTTTGTAAACTAGAAGAGTATATTCCCATATTTAGCAGAATTTAAAGTCCTCACTTGGCAGAATTTCCTCACAGTCACAGGTCAAGCTACTGGTGGGAATCAAATGTTTTTACTCTCATGAGTAGAATTGTAAAAAAACATATAATATTATGATATATAATTTGTTTGTGGTTTGTTGTTAGGTATGATATTAATTACTGTCAATATAATTATCAAATAACGTAAATGATATATGTTATATTTTCCAGTATCTACAGAGAGTACCCCTGTAGCAGTGACTAGTCAGGAGACATGGTGTAAACTGAAGTTTAATTTCTGTATTAATACACTGTCAGCAACACTTTATAATGGAGAGAGTAAACTGGTATGTATACATTATGTTTGTACTGTACTGAATATTGTTTTCTATGATACGCAGTTCTAACAACTTTTTGAAATTCTATTTTGGAACTTAATCACTTTTGAGTCCACTATCTGAAATTAACATTATGTGGCAGATCAGAGGCGAATACCTTGATTATAAGAACACAATCCCCTTTTCTTTTTTGTAAGAAATGTTTGTTATTTCTGAAAAAAAAAAATAGTCATAAAATGTCGATATAACTGATGTTCAATTTAAGTACTATTATTTAGTTATAAAAATTTTTCAAAGTTAGAAAGTTACCTTTAACAATCCTAATATTCCCTTGTAAAGTAATATGTTTCAGTTTTACATTAGTTATAATGTCAAACATTGGCAATATTTATCATTTTCAGACATCAGGTCTATACTTACATGATGACAAGAAGTGCCTCGGTCAGTTTGCACTGGAGTTGATGGGTCTAGATGGTCACATGATGACTAATAATGACATGGATGTCAAGGTCATACTGAGAGATACGATCATGGATGATAAACGTCCTCAGAAAATAGGAGGTATCACAAGGTATGTGCTCTTAGTTATGTGTTCCTCATTTCATTTCACCCATTATGTGTACCTTATTATATGTTCTGCATAATATGTTCTTCATTATACGATCCTTATTACGTGTTTCTAAATATTTGTTCTATTTGTTTTGCATTACTTGTTCCTCAACATGTGCTCCTTATAAGATATTCCTCATATGTCCCTTATTATGTGTTCCTCATTACATGTCATTTATTATGTGTTCCTCAGTACATGTCCCTTATTTTGTGTTCCTCATTACATGTCCCTTATGATGTGTTCCTCATTACATGTCACTTATTATGTGTTCCTCAATACATGTCACTTATTATGTGTTCCTTATTACATGTCCCTTATTTTGTGTTCCTCATTACATGTCCCTTATGATGTGTTCCTCATTACATGTCTCTTATTATATGTTCCTTATTACATGTCCCTCATTATATGTTCCTCAGTACATGTCCCTTATTTTGTGTTCCTCATTACATGTCCCTTATGATGTGTTCCTCATTACATGTCACTTATTATGTGTTCCTTATTACATGTCCCTCATTATATGTTCCTCAGTACATGTCCCTTATTATGTGTTCCCCATTACATGTCCCTCATTATGTGTTCCTCATTACATGTCCCTTATGATGTGTTCCTCATTACATGTCACTTATTATGTGTTCCTTATTACATGTCCCTCATTATATGTTCCTCAGTACATGTCCCTTATTATGTGTTCCCCATTACATGTCCCTCATTATGTGTTCCCCATTACATGTCCCTTATGATGTGTTCCTCATTACATGTCCCTTATTATGTGTTCCTCATTACATGTCACTTATTATGTTTTCCTCATTACATGTCACTTATTTTGTGTTCCTCATTACATGTCCAGTGTCTATTCTAGGACGCGCGATTGCGCGATTCACGCTAGTATTTAACAGATCGCGCACAATTCAAAATCATGTGCGTGAAAATCGGCGCATCTATAAAAAAAGTTAATAAAACCGTAAAACTTCAATCCCGCATTATATTTGGTTGTTTTGTTTACATTTACACGAAAACGAAGGGAGGTAACTGTAAGCTAATTATAATAATTTAGTACCGTATGGTACTGGTTTACGTGAGTTGAGGGGAAAATTAGGGAAATGTTCCGTACGCCCGGGGGACTATGTGCTAGGCCCCTGACAGTTGGGGCGAAAATTTTAAAAGGGTGTAGTAAATTTTAAATTTTCCAAGAAAAATTTGGGGGGAAAAATTTACCAGGCTTGGCAAACAAATTATACGTGAAAAGAAAAAAAAAAACTTGGGATTATTTGTAGGGCTTAACCCCCCTTTTTTAAATCCAATCGCGGGCAGTTCTGAATAATTTTTTTTTCGTTTAAAAAATTTCAGGGGGGAAAACACCCCTTCCTTCCCCCCTTCCCCCCCTTAAATAAAATTTACCCTTTTTAAAAAAATTATTTCAACCCGGGGGGGTTTAAACCCTTAAATGGGGCAAAGAAAATTTTTTAAAAATTGGGCAGTTTATATTTGGCACCAACCTTTGATTTTGGAAAATCGCCCCCTTTTTTTGAAATGGAGGGGGAAAATCTCCCCTATTTTTCAATTCCTAGAATAGACACTGCATGTCCCTTATGATGTGTTCCTCATTACATGTCCCTTATTATGTGTTCCTCATTACATGTCACTTATTATGTGTTCCTCATTACATGTCACTTATGATGTGTTCCTCATTACATGTCCCTTATGATGTGTTCCTCATTACATGTCCCTTATTATGTGTTCCTCATTACATGTCACTTATTATGTGTTCCTCATTACATGTCCCTTATTTTGTGTTCCTCATCACTTGTCCCTTATTATGTGTTCCTCATTACATGTCCCTTATGATGTGTTCCTTATTATATGTCTCTTATGATGTGTTCCTCATTACATGTCCCTTATGATGTGTTCCTCATTACATGTCCCTTATAATGTGTTCCTCATTACATGTCACTTATTATGTTTTCCTTTTTTACATGTCCCTCATGACATGTTCTTCATTACATGTTCCTTATTACATGTTCCACATTATGTGTTATGTGTTCCTTATTATATGTTCCTCATTTTATTTTCTTCATTACATTTTCCTTTTTATGTTACTCTTATTACATGTCCCTTATTATGTGTTCCTTATTGCATGTGCTTCACACTATATGTTCCTTAATACATTGTTCTTTGTATATGTTTCTATTACATGTTCCTCATTATGTGTTCTTCTTTGAATTTTCTTCATTCTATGTAGCTCATACTGTGTTTTATCATTGTGTTTAACAGTTAATGTTGACTTAATTTAGTTAATGTTGACTTAATTTGGACAAATTTTCACTATTTTTAAGTTCAATGAAATAGTCATTTTGTTTACTTTAATGTATTTAAACCATCACATGTTCTTTTATTATTTAAGTAGCCAGGTTCAACAGTCATTGTAGCTACTTAAAATGGTATAGAGTTACTAGGGTCTAATTAAATGTTAGAAAAATCTCAGTCATGTAAGTCTACTTAAATGTTCAAAACATTCTTTCATATAAATGAATAGTTCTACTGAAATATTCATACAAGTTACTGGTATATAAAATTTGTTTTCTTGTAAACAGAATGATGGAAAGAAGTAAGAAAGTGTCTACAACAGATGGGAAAGAACTCAATATGATAGATGTGTCATTTAAACAGGAGAAGAATGACAAAAATAGTAAGACATTATCTGCTAGTAATTTTGTGAATGATGTGTACGTGTGTTTTCCTGGTTGAGAGGGAGGCACTTTAAACCAATTTGCCTCCGTCACATTCACATAAACAAGGTCTCCCCCTTTTGGCTGAGGGGTTGCCTTTTATGGTTGAGACATAAGAATTGCAGCCACCGTTTATCCCTATGTGATCTTATGAGGCGACTGAATGGTTTAAATAACTGGAGTCTATGCATGTCATGGGCTCCAGCAGGTGAAGCAGTTTTGACCCCTGGTGTTGAAATAATTATATTTATCATATAATCTAAAAATATCTGCAATCTCATTGGTCCAAACACCTATCACCCTGGTCAGTATGACATTCCACGGGTGAATATCACATCATATTCAATGGCTAGCTAGTCAATAATTGTAATAATATTACACTGTTTTCAGTTGATGTACACATGAGCAGTTTGTATGTGTGTGTATGCCTGGATTTCCTGATGTCAGTAGCCGACTTCTTTGTGAAAGGTCTACCTAAACAACCCGAGGTAGAACCACCACCTGTTCCTGCCAAAGAAACACAAAAAGGTGAGTTTAATTCTTGAGATAAAATAGTTTATAGTTTTTTTTGGTAAAAAATACTGGAAAGTGAATGAAATTTGTCATTTACCCTACATGCATGGAAAACCAAACAATAAATTGTTGCTTTATACTTGGCAGCACCGATGTGGGTTCCAATCCCAAAAGGGACTTTGGATTGTTTCATGTGAGGAAGCTATCCAGCTAGCCTGAACGTCTGTGATTCTACACAGGCCCCTGTTTGTGCCTGAAATAATGCATGGAAGGGTACCTGAGGTCTTCCTCCACTTGTGAAGCTGGAAAGCTGCCATATGACCTAAACTGTGTCAGTTGATGTAAAACCTAATCAGAGTACAATCGATCAAAGTTTTCCATGTAAAATCTCCATGTTATAGGGTATATATTTGAATTTATTTATTGCCTTGGTGTTATTCAATTGTTAAATTAATACTGAATATATGTTTAAGCGATAAATTATCAAATATATTTATTGACATTTTTTATTTTAACAGCTGCTGCGGTACAACCAAAACCAGCTGAACCAGTGGCAGGTGAGATGAATATATCTGTCTCTATAGATAGACCAGAAATTATCATGATAGAAGACCAGTCTAAACAAGATACGAGTGCCCTCATGTTAGATGTAAGTTATTTAATATCTTGGTATATTAAGTGGAGTGGTGGCCTAGTGATTAAGATATCTGCTTCTCAACCCAGGGATCATTGGTTCGAGCCCTAATTTGGTCAGGACCATGTTTCTTCATATGACACCAGTACTGGTTGGTTTCAGGAAGCAGACTCAGAAGTGTTTAATATAAGTTGCAAGAACTAGTTTCCCAATCGAGCTTAAATAAAATTTGATGTTTAAGTCAAATATTTTGTTCTCTTTTGTCCTTGTCGTTTTGTTATCCTGTTTATTTTGTGCGACCAATGAAATAAAAAAGTACATATCTGATGTAAATAATAGATATATGTCCAACCCTGATGTAGAAAAATCAGTTTCTAGTTGGTCAAAACCCTTATTATAGCTTATTTATTTATCTCAAAGTTTCATTATCTTGACTTTTGTGGACGGTCCTGGCGACATCGAGATAACGGGAGTCGACTGTATCCTGTGCTTAGAGTGCCCTTAAATTTCATACCATTATATACACTAATACCCTATTCTTTTATGATGCTTTCATTCATATATTTATTTTGTTTTATTATGCTCTCATCATTTATTTACCCTGTCCCCTTTAAAAAATGAATTTCAGACAGATATATTTACAACAATTTCAGATGGAGTTAGTGTTCAGGATGAGACAGAGTCCGGAGACAATGGACATGTCAGCTGCCATTAAAAACCTCGGTATAGTCTCCTGTAAATACAACAGTAGGGGCTCCGGGGCACAGGTATATATCTTGTATATTCATGTTTAAAAAAGGAAGAAATGTTGGATCTTTGTGCTTTTGAAAATATTTTATAATTCCCAACATCTTTTTGAGATATGTTCCATGTTCAGAACAAAGAAACAAAAATTCTGTTCATAATGAAGATATTAACCCATGTCGTTGTGATATATTGCTTGTATTTGATCCTGAAACCATGTGATATGATGTTTATTTAGTTCATATTTAGACTAAGAGTTACATATATTTTCACAAATAAATATAGCCCCATTTGACTTAATATTGTTCAAATATTGACTATGTGTTAATAATGTTCTTATTCAGAAACTGACCCCATGTGACATACATGTATATTATTCAGATATTGACAACATATTGGTAATATATTTAGTTTATATTACAGGAATTGACCCATGTGACATAACATGATGATAATAATTTATTGTATTAACTGACCTTATATGACAAAATGTTACTATATATTTCTGATATTGACCCCATGTGACATAATTTAACTAAATATTTCATGTATTGACCCCATGTGACATAAATTAACTAAATATTTAATATATGACCCCATGTGTCATGTGCATTTTTTCATGTATTGACCCCATGTGATGTGTATATTTCATGTATTGACCCCATGCAACATTTGTATTTTCAGATATTGACCCCATGTGACCAAATTTAACCTAATATTTCATATATGACCATTTGTACCATGTGCATATTTCATGTAATGACTGCATGCAACATGTGTATATTTCAGATATTGACCCCATGCAACATGTGTATATTTCAGATATTGACCCATGTGATATAATGTAACTATATATTTCATATAATGATCTAATGTGACATGAGTATAATTCCGATATTGACCCCATTTAACATATGCATATTTCATGTATTGATCACATGTGTCATGTGATTATTTCAGATATTGACCCCATGTGACATATCATTCTACAGTAAGACACCTAAGGATCAGGGAGCGCATATGGATGTTTCAACTACAGATTTAATCCTGAACATTTCCCCAGCTACCATCAAAACAATGTCCGCTATAGCAGCTGGCCTATCTAAACAAGAAGTATGATTTTGTTATTATTTGCTTAGAATAGCTCTTAAATTATGTAAAAATAAAAAGGTTTTGCACTTTGTATATAAGCATCAGCTAATAAATTTACCTACTTAGTTTGTTCTATTTTACCCAGAATAGTTCTTAAATTATGGAAAATAACCAAAAAAATCCAAATATTTGCTCTTAGCTACTGCATTTACTCATATATAAGACTCAGAGCATGTATAAGTCGGGGGTCTAATTTTTACATAAGAATTGGCTGTTTTCTGCTTATCATGGGATAATGAAATCTTGTACTAGATGGTATTGCAATGACAACAGTGAATGTGAATTTTGAGTTTTGAATCCTAAGATTCATATTTCCAAAAAACTCTTAGGACAGAAGTCTTTGCTTGAATAATTAAATGCAAATATAAACAGGTAAAAATATTCTTAGATATATATATAATGTTCTGTAGGAGGAAGGGGAAGAGGAAGAGAAAATGCCTGGGGATATCTGGCAGATTAAGAAAATATCCGACTGTGATTTCTGGTTCCTAAAATCAGGTAAGTTTCTTTTTGATTTGGTTTATAGAAACTTGATAGATAGATATGCCTGATGTCAGATATTTCTTCAAACCTTATGTAAGTTTGAACATCATATTGTATTTTTAGCAAATTCTTTGAATAATTATAATTATGTGAATGAAAAAGACTGTAAAAAGTGCTTAAAATCACCAAAACCTAGTGTGTGAAACAAATACATTTTTGAATTTCGTCTAGAATACTGTGAACATTTAGTTCTTTCTAGTTCATTTCATAGTGTTAATTTTCTGCATGGAACTTTATGTTTTATTCATTTATTTTCTTTTTTTGTAGCATGTTCATTTAATTAAATTTATTTTGAGCTACAACTCAAATATTTTTGCAAGCTTGTGTAATTTTCAAAGTGATGTTGTCATAATAATAATTGTTGTATTGATGTTGTTAAATGCATATACTGTACTCTCTTAGCCAGAAATTGTAAAACCTAAATACCAGTACATATATGTGATACTAATATATCTATTCAGCTAGCAGACGGAAGGTTGGTGGATTTACTGAGGTGCCAGCTATTGCCTAAACAAATGCATTAACATTCTTACAAGACCTACTTTATGGGGTTATTACTTCCATCTTTTGTTTCTCATAATGTCCCTTCACTAAGAGCCAAAACAAAACCTTTTCCTATAAAGCTGGGAAAATGTCACCTGACCTTAAAGGCACTCCACTGAGGTCAGAAAGCCGAAAGTTGGGGCGATTCTTAGTCTGCTTTGAGTGAAAAGCCATGCAAAGCTTTTAATTTTTTGGTTATTTTGTACAATAAAAAGAATGATTCTGGAAAAACAGAGTGAGGGAATGATCTGAATTTTTGCACATAAATTATTTGTCTTTATCAACATTAAGTAGTACACAAATCTCTGAAAAATATTTCCAACCCTCTCATGTCAATTAACCTCAGTGGAGTCCCTTAAATAGTGTTGTAATAAATTGCATGTAAAGAAAAAACACCAACACAGATGACAAGTTATTAAGATATGATTATGTATATGTACTATATGATATTTATAGCTGATGACACAGACAATCGTAAGTGTAATGGAAGACGGACAAAACCCCACCAGTTAAAACCCCACCACTCAAAATTTTATAGAGTGGACAAAACCCCACCACTTAATTTTATAGAGTGGACAAAACCCCACCACTAAATTTCATTGAGTGGACAAAACCCCACCACTTATTGGGCAAGATTTGATCAATTATAATATATAATTATAATATACACATATTTTTCACATTTTATTTTTTAATTTCAATATAACATTTGTGTAATATAAGAATGAACAATTTTATTAACAATGCATGTACATCTTGCATGTGCAATATGCAAAAAAGGTGTTACAAACTGTACACAAAAAACTTAATCCTAATCCCTGAAGAACAGAACAGATTATTTATTGATGTTTTGATTGCAAAAAAGGTGTTACAAACTGTAACTCCTTATTGATGAGTTGTTCACACATTATTTAGAGTTTCTGCTGATGCACACTTGTTTGTTTTTTAACATGTTTACAAGAAAGTGTAGTCCACTCTATAAAACTGATGTGGTGGGGTTTTGTCCACTCTGTAAAATTTAGTGGTGGGGTTTTGTCCACTCTATGAAATGTAGTGGTTGGGTTTTGTCCACTCTATAAAATTTTGAGTGGTGGGGTTTTAACTGGTGGGGTTTTGTCCTACATTCAAGTGTAACATGTAGAAATATAGACCGACAGGAACACATATAGCACAGCTTCAAATTAACATTACCGTATTTCTGATAATTATTGCGCTTAATTATTGCCCTATTAAACACCCCCTTTGTCTTGAATTCTTTGTGCTTTTTTGAGTCTGTACATGAGGGATAATGAATAAGTGCAACATCCCTCATGCCCCCTAGCACCGGCTTGAGCGGTACTCAATTCTACACACTTAATAGTGATGGCATCAATAATCCCGAAGGACCAGAAAAATATAACAATACTGAAAAGTCATGCTTGGTTTGCTTTATATGCTAGATCATTTATCAAACATGTATTAGCCTGATTTTAGAAGATTAAAATGCTTTTATTTTTAGGTGAAGGAAACATATTCACTACTTTAAATAGATAGTCAAACATAAAAATAGGGTCTTACAAATGTTTGTCTTTAATTATTACCTATTAAGAAAAAAATGGTGATATTTTAGATCTTTTTTGGTTTGGAACGTCAAATTTATTTCTGCTTAATATTCCATAATTCTAAAGTAATGATATTATAATGTTATATACTAACTGTACATGTTCAGTACTATAATTATTTCTGTTTAAGATAAATATACATACAGGTATGTTTACAAAAATCCACATAAATCTAGTCATAATTAAAAGGTTATAAAAGGTTATAAATACTTTGTCAAAAATAAATAAATTTTTCTGTTTATCATTAATATTTCATTGTTTCAAAGACAAGAATACATGTATAATAACTTATTAGTTTAATTAAAAATGTTAATCTATAAAAAGCAATTATTATTCTTATAAGATGTACCAGGAAATAGCAATGAGTATTTGAATAACAGTAAGGAAATAAGTCATTCACAAATGGTTTCATTATTCCCTAACTTGAGTTGAGGAAGAAGTCACTTAACCAAAGTATGAGTTATGTCATGTATTTTTCAATGAGATAATAAATACTAAATAGGATTACAATGACTTACTATCTAATTAGATTGAAATAGAAAAAATACATGTTTTCTTCAGTTGTTATAAATCTAATAATAAATATGTCTCTGTCACCAATTTTAAGTGTAGTTCTTCTAAATCTGAAGTTTCCTTAAAAAAAAAAAAAGATGGACCACCTGTGTTCAGAAAGGACCACCTGAATTTGGATCCAGTGGTCCGGCATACCACCTGCTGAAAAAGTTTGTGTCAAGACCTGATAAACATATCAAATTCAGACGAAAAACATGCATTTTGTCACTGAAGGAAGCATTTAAAGGCTTAAATCAAGGCTAAGATAAGAATGTAAAAGAGAAAACAGACAGATAGTTCTTAATGTTACATTACCATATATAAAGTGCCTTTTCAATTCCTACCTTCGTGGTCCGGTCCGTATGTTGGATAAAAATCTCGTAAAGTAAAATAACAATCACAGAATACAGTAACATGCAAAGTAACGCAAAAGTGCGTGGCTTTAGGCCACAAAGTCCTCATACGTGTCATTGACCTTTTTACTGCTCCATTTTTAACAATTATTAAAATTAACTATTAATATATCTTGAATAAAAAAATGAAAATTGTATGACCTTGTTTTAGTATATTCTGTTATAAAAAATTTCATAGGACAAACAGATAAAAAAAAACCAACACAAATTTAAATATCAAAACATGATTTGCTTTATTAGCTTTGTCAGTTATAATTTCATGAAACTCCTTTAAATTTAAATGTAAAAGAAATGTTTACACCATCCTTTTTTAATTTATAAAATTTTTACATCATCAATATTATAACTAGTTGATATGGTGAAAAATAGTTTTAAGTGTAATTGTCCACTTGTAGAATTAGTGTTTCTGCTGCAAAAGTTATTTTTGAAATTGGGGGGAGGGGGGTTGTATTAGGGGAGTGCCATTTAATTTATTTAATTTTACAATAGCAGCATTACATTTCGGTACATTTTTTTTCTGTTTATGTACAATATTCATGTGTGTCGAAAAAGAGGTCCCCTCTCGAAAAGATAATTGATACAGTACAATTTTAATGTTTCTTAAATATAGCTTAAATTTATACACATGTAGGTAGAATATTAGTAATGCTTGTTTTGCTTGATATATTAGATCATTTATTGTATTAGCTTGGTTTGACTCGAAGAAATACTAAATGTTATACTATAAATTTGCTCATATCTTTGTTGTATTTGTTTTTATTTTGCGTTATTAGATGTTAAGTTTGAATGATAACTTTTTTGTTTGTCAGTTATCTTTCTTTAGTAGCTGTTTTATTTTGAATGATAACTCTTTTTTGTGTCAGTTATCCTTTTTGTTAAAATGTTATTATAAATAATCATAGATGGATTTTGTTTGTTTGTTTTATTTTTTACAGTGTTTTAATTTGGTATATTTCAGTTGCATCAGAACCGCTAGATTTGGGCACAGCAGTTGATGAAGTTTTAGAAGAAAGGGGGGAACAGGTAATATATAATTGAGACGCGCCATGACAAAACCAACATAATGTGTTTGCGACCAGCATGGATCCAGACCAGCCTGCACATCCGCTAAGTCTGATCAGTATCTATGCTGTTCGCTTACAAGCCGTATTACAAGTAGTGAAACTGAAATCAAACAGCATGGATTCTGATCAGACTGCACGAATGCTCAGGCAGATCTCCATTTTGGTCGCAAATGCATTATGTTGGTTTTGTCATGGCGCGGCTCAATTATGTCTAAAATATATTTATATTTTAGTTTCAAAAATTTAAAGGAACTCCACTGAGGTTCAAAGGCCTAAAAACATGAAATTTGAAAATCTAACAAATGTCAAGAGATGCACTTAAAATGGAAAACTCTGCAGAATAACAGAAATCATAATACTTACCCTGATTTGAGTGATGAATGTGTTGCAACGTTTTTCATTTTTGGGTCATTTTGTTCAATCAAAATGATTAATCTAAAAAAAAAGTGGTGAGTGAATGTCCGAAATATTTGCACACAAGTTATTGGTCCTGACCTTCATCAAATGGTACACAAATCTCGGAAAAAAATATTTTCAGTTCCATAATGTCAGAAAACCTCAGTGGAGTCCCTTTAAAATTTAGTTTGACAATTTGTGGGATATATTTTAAGCACAGTTGTAAAACTGATATGTCTGTATATACTTATAATGTGTCTATAGATGGTAAAACATTATATTACTTTCTGGTCTTTTTATGGTTTGTTTAATGAATGGGAAATTTAATTGTTTAAAGTGGATTGGTCTACAATAGGCACATTTTTCATAAGTATTTCAAAAAATGATAAAAACCATAGAAATGACGTGTATGATTTGGATATTACTAGGAAATTATTACTAGGGAAAAAAATTCTTCTGTGGTTTGTTGCTATACATGTATATTATACCATTTTTTTTCCTTCTTTGTCTATATAAGTGACAAAATCACGTGGAGTGTTAGAATATACTATATTACTATCAATATAATTGTTTTTTGTATTACAAACTTTTAATTATAGACCAATTTACTTTAAAGAAAGTGTCAAAATCTGGTGGCGAATAAGTGGCAATTAAAACCGGACTTTTGCTAGCCATAGATCTCGTTTAATCGCCACTAGCAAAGAACGGTTAAAAGACGTTTTTCAAAGTTTTCATATTGACATATAGGCAAAATTAAAACTGTTCCATAGAATTTGTTTAAACTTGCCTTCCAGATTTGTATCTATTTTAAAGAAATTTGAAAAATGGATCAAATAAGTGAAAATATTGTCCAGTTTCATCTGTATTATGAATTTTTATACATTTCTTAAACAATTTCTTTGTATTGTGAGTTTTCTGACTTTAATCTTTCTCTCTATATTTTTACAGTCCTATAAAGAAAAGGTATACAGATTGTTCTCTATGTTTCCATCATGCATTACACCATACAGATTGCTTCTCCCCCCCATATACTAATATTCCATTACATGTAACATACTAGGAAGAATCCCCCTATGTTTGTCTGAAAATTTAATGTCCAGCCAGTATACAGATCGTATTTATAAGATTTATAACTCTTTTACTGTTTGTAAGAATTCTGCAATCTTATGAGGGGTGTCTATTTGGCTTCAAACCATTTGTCCCTCACTGCTGTGGGTATGAATCCCACCAAGGACTTTGGATTCTTTCATGTAAGGAAGCTGTCCTGCTAGCTTATGGAACATCCTTGGTTCTACATATTAATGCTTGTTTGTGCCTTAAAGAATGCACTTGAGGTCTTCCTCCACCAGTAAAGCTATACAGTCTTCATGTGACCTTCACAATGTCATTGTGACTTTAAAACACAATCAAAAACTGTGCAAGAAGTTGATTGTTTTTGTAATAACTGTCTGGACTTTTGTCTCGGAATTCTATGTGTATATCTCCACACACTGCCAGTACTATATGCCATCAAAACTGTGCAAAAAGTTTATAATGTTTTTAGCTCACCTGTCACAAAGTGACAGGGTGAGCTTTAGTGATCGCTTTTCGTCCGGCGTCCGGCCGTCCATCTGTCGTCCATCCGTCCGTCGTCCGTAAACTTTTACTTTAAATGACATCACCTCATAAACCACTAAGCCAATTTTATCCAAACTTCACAGGAATGTTCCTTTGGTGGTCACCTTTTAAAATTATTCAAAGAATTTAATTCCATGCAGAACTCTAGTTGCCATGGCAACCGAAAGAAAAAACTTTAAATATCTTTTTTAAAAAACCATAAGAGCTAGAGCTTAGATATTTGGCATGAAACATCTTCTAGTGAGTGTCTACCAAGTTTGTTCAAATAAAAGCCTTGGGGTCAAAATTGGCCCCGCCCCGGGGGGTCATTTATTTTCCCTATATGCATATAGTAAAAACTTAAAAAATCTTCTTTTAAAGAACCCAAAGAGCTAAAGCTAAGATATTTAGCATGAAACATGTTCTAATGGGTGTCTACCAAAGTTTGTTCAAATAAAAGCCCTGGGGTCAAAATTGGCCCCACCCCGGGGGGTCATTGATTTTCCCTATATGCATATAGTAAAAACTTAAAAAATCTTCTTTTAAAGAACTAAAACTGCTATGGCTAAGATATTGAGCATCAAACATGTTCTAATAGGTGTCTACCAAGTTTGTTCAAATAAAATCCCTTGTGTCAAAATTGGCCCCGCCCCGGGGGGTCATTGATTTTCCCTATATGCATATAGTAAAAACTTAAAAATTCTTCTTTTAAAAAACCAAAAGAGTTACAGCTAAGATATTTAGCATGAAACATGTTCTAATAAGTGTTTACCAAGTTTGTTCAAATAATAGCCCTGGGGTCAAAAATTGGCCCCGCCCCGGGGGGTCATTGATTTTCCCAATATGCATATAGTAAAAACTTAAAAAATCTTCTTTTAAAGAACCCAAAGAGCTAAAGCTAAGATATTTAGCATGAAACATGTTCTAATGGATGTCTACCAAGTTTGTTCAAATAAAAGCCCTGGGGTCAAAATTGGCCCCACCCCGGGGGGTCATTGATTTTCCCTATATGCATATAGTAAAAACTTAAAAAATCTTCTTTTAAAGAACTAAAACTGCTATGGCTAAGATATTGAGCATCAAACATGTTCTTATAGGTGTCTACCAAGTTTGTTCAAATAAAAGCCCTTGTGTCAAAATTGGCCCCGCCCCAGGGGGTCATTGATTTTCCCTATATGCATATAGTAAAAACTTAAAAATTCTTCTTTTAAAGAACCAAAAGAGTTAGAGCTAAGATATTTAGCATGAAACATGTTCTAATAAGTGTTTACCAAGTTTGTTCAAATAATAGCCCTGGGGTCAAAAATTGGCCCCGCCCCGGGGGGTCATTGATTTTCCCTAAATGCATATAGTAAAAACTTAAAAAATCTTCTTTTAAAGAAATCAAAGAGCTATGGCTAAGATATTTAGCATGAAACATGTTTTAATAGGTGTCTACCAAGTTTGTTCAAATAAAAGCCCTGGGGTCAAAATTGGCACCGCCATGGGGGTCATTGATTTTCCTTATATGTGTATAGCAAAAACTTAAAAAATCTTCTTTGAAAAACCCCAAATAGCTAGAGTTAAGATATTAAGCATGAAACATCTTTTAGTGAGTGTCTACAAAGTTTGTTCAAATAAAAGACCTGTGGTCAAAATTGGCCCCGTCCCGGGGGTCATTGATTTTCTTTATATGTGTAAAGCAAAAACTTAAAATCTTCTTTGAAAAAACCCAAAGAGCAAGAGTTTAGATATTAAGCATGAAACATCTTCTAGTAAGTGTCTACAAAGTTTGTTCAAATAAAAGCCCTGGGGTCAAAACTGGCCCGGCCCCAGGGGTGTCATTGTTTTTAACTACATGTGTATAGTAAAAACTTAAAAAAAATCTTCTTTTAAAAAGCCCAATGAGCTAGAGCTTAGATGTTTAGCATGAAACATCTTCTTATGGGTGTCTACCAAGTTTGTGCAAATAAAAGCCCTTGGGTTAAATTGGCCCTGCAACGATGGGTGGTTGGGGGGGGATGCTATATACAGGTGAGCGACCTCAGGGCCATCATGGCCCTCTTGTTTTTCTGTGCCTGGGAAGTACTTTCAATTTTGTCTCATAATTTTACATGCATATCTCATAATATTGCCAGAAGAACTGTTCAAGCTTTCAGCACTGTACAAGAAAAAATGGTTTGTTACACTTAAAAGTAAGATTTCCATATTAACACATTTGTCCAAAGTACATAGGTGAAATACTTATTGGGTCTCCATTGAAAGTGGTTCATTGTGCATAGATGGAAATACTTTTTGGGTCTCCATTGAAAGTGGTTCATTGTATAAAATTAAAAAAAATTATTAATCTTTACTGTGTGTAAGAATTGTGCTAGCTTTTGATAGGTATATGTGGCTGTTGGGTTAAGGTTGTTGACTTCAAACCACTTGCTCTCCAAAATCCCGCTAGAGGCTTTGTTTTCATTCATGTGTGAAAGCTATCCTGCAAGCATACAGAATGTTGGTGGTTCTACTGAAGTGCCCATTTGTGACTGAAATAAGGAACGTAAGGCACCTGAGGTCTTACTCCTCTATATGACCTCTACAGTGTAACTGCAACATAAAACCCAATAAAAAAAATAAGCTAGGTTACAGAACGATGGTGGCTTTACTTGTGTGCCACCTTTTGTCTGAAAGAATGGTTCCTCAAGTTTTCCTCCACCAATTAAGCTGGAAAATGATTAAGATCAAAGTCTTCAAGACATTTTATTCCCCACTTCTTTGTTTTAATGTCCTGGCATTGGCTTTGAATGCTTTCTTTTGAGCTAGGTATTCAGGTAGCATTTGGTTTAAATCTTAAGGTTCTAGCCAAAGCGCATGCTTGTTCCTAAAATAATTTAATACAAGCTTGGCACCAGGCCACTCCCTCAAACCAGGAAAATGTTGGAAAGGTGTCATGTGACCTTTAAAGTGCCTATGAGGGTTGACATGTGACCTTCACAGTGCCAATGTCATGTGACCTTCACAGTGCCAATGGCATTTGACCTTCACAGTGCCAATGTCATGTGACCTTCACAGTGCCAATGTCATGTGACCTTCACAGTGCCAATGTCATGTGACCTTCACAGTGCCAATGGCATGCAAAACTTCAAAAAAAAATAAAATGGAACCATAAAAAATATTTCTGCAATGATTGCCTTTAACAATTCAGTTGATTAACTTGATCTTAATCTGCCACCACTTACACTATATTTTAAAAAAATTATTGGAACTGGTTTTCTTTGCATTGTCTCGCAAACTTATTTACTTAAGTGAAAATGGCTTAGACATAAAGTTACCTATTATCCAAATGTGGCGTCTATTAATGTAGACGTATGTTTGGTCCATTTACGTCCTTTCCTTTATGTATTAACTGATGAAGCTAATGAAGTGAAACTTGTATTGATATTTAAAATTATGTTGGTATTTATCTATTTGTCCTAATTAATATTACTCAGACATAAGATTACCCTCCCTGTAACAGTTTACTGTGTTTAATGAGATCCCCTCAGTCCTGTTTCCCTCTATTTCTCATGAATTTTTAACAAAAGACACTTCCTGATGTTACGTCTGCTCAGTGCTGCTATGTCTGCTGTTACATTGGGTGTTACGCTAGCTGTTATTTAAGTCTGCTGTAGATGTTGAAGAACGAACTTTAATATTTCTTTATTTAGATCACACTTTAAAGAAATCAACACAGTAATAACAATCAGTCACTTTAATTTTCTTTTCTTATTAGTGAAAGCACTGTATACTTAGATTAAAGAAAAATGCAGTTTTTGGACCAAAAAAACAACAATGTTTTTGATATGAATTTTTAAGCATTCTACTGTAAATTTACTTCACTTAACCTGTTGACTTTGAATAATGAATTTGCCTTGATTCCAATTTGGAACAGTCCATTCAAAGTTTCAGGGATTTCAATATCAAAATACAAAAATTGAACTACATGTATCAACAGTATATAGAGCCTGATCAGACTCCCATAGATTTACAGCTAGGTAACAAAGTCTAATCACTTTTTTGTTATAGCAGGTTAAAGGTCAAGGATAAAAGGTCAAGGACAAAAGGTCAAGAACAAAAGGTCAAGAACATACCCTTTACAATGGGAATAATTATATCATACAACATGGTACCCCTGTTTAAAACAATAACATACACTCTTGACACTGTAACTTTAAAACAATTCCATTTCAACACAAATCTTGAGAAAAATAAAAGATTTAACCCAGTTACCTCCCTTGTGCAGATTGCTCTTTGTTCTATATTTAGCATTTATGGTCATTTTTCTGTTTTTGAATGAGATAACTTTTTTATGTTGGAGAATGTAGAAAATATTTTTATTTGAGTTTGTTATTATGTATTATAGGTGTAAACATGTGTTAAACACATGTATATAGTTTTATGTTCTAAAAATAGTAACATAGTATGATATACATATACATAGTTTTATGTTC